CAAATATCTTCGTACGTGCGTGAGTATTCCTTTCACAAAATTATATTTCAAGGGACGTCAGATATTTAACTGGTGACGGTTTCTTTCGGTAGGGTATGCGCCATCTTCCCGATGGATGTTGATTTTGTTAAACGTTCTCTGATTGGACTATCGATATGTGCGATAGTCCAATCATATTTAGCACAGGAAAGCGGGCTTGATATGGCAAGGGTGAAGTGAGTGAGTGAGTTGTGTTTAACGCCGGTTTTAACAGTATTCAAGTTATATCACGGCGTGTCAGCTTAATGTGGGAAGAAAGCCCGAAGTGATGCAGGTCTCAGGCGTTTACCACTTCGGTGAAACCCACGAGCACGGGTATGGTGCTGACAAACCTAGAAACATAATCGGGGCGAACCGGGATTCGAACCCACAATCATAGGTTTCTGGCGTGCCAAAGGGACAGCGAATCGCGGCGCCTTAGACGACTGGACCACCCGTGCCCCCGGCAAGGGTGGAAACAAGACTTTGATAAAAAGGCTTGTGGACGCTCTTTGGTCGGAAAGATGGGTATGCGCTTGCTCACCCGTTTTGCGAACACGTCCTGTGAACACTCTACATTTGTGTACAGTTATTCTTGTAGGGTCTTGAAAATGTGTTCCCATTTATTTTTTCATCTCGATCATTGTTCCAGAATACCCCATGGTCAGAATCTGACCTTGGCAATAGATCCAGCACGCGTTGTACTCATTCAGTCGTTATTGACCACTAAAGTGAAGATCGGTTGGTTAAAATGGGTGCCATGGTCTACCATGTGCCGTTGTGCGCATAGTTGGTAATAGCATTAACTGTGTCAGTATTTGATCACGTCGCCTTGACGCATCTGGAGCGTTGTTGACAGCGGCGTAAAACACTATCCATTCTCATATATACAAACTAAGAGCAGACAAAGTCACCTTGTAAATGTTTGATACATATCGCGTCACATGTTTTTTTATTTAATTAACTACTCCTTTTTCGTTTTATTATGTTATATAGGACTAAAACGAAATAGGAATTTAGAGACGCTCGTCAAAACACTGACTTGGACATCGATAATGTTGCAGTCAGATTAAGTGACAATCAAACCGTAGCGTTAAGCTTTTGTCGTACCCGGTGTATGGGCAAGCTACCCCATCCCATGGGGCCTTTATTAGATTAGCTTGGTGGATGTTTAAGTGCTTTTCATGGAATCAATGCAATGTAACCATTTCATTGCCTGTATTGCCAGAGCCCTTTTGGTGAACGACTCAAATATAACAAAGGAAGATGCGTCTTTGCGTGACACGAACCAACATCAACCGATGTTTCAGTGACGTGATGAAAAACACCCTTGTGTAATTTGTATGGGTAATATATTTTAACGGTTGTGCAAGGCCATCTATGTAATTATGGATACTGTTTGGTGTTCGGTGTGTGTTGTTTATTCTCATAGGAATATGGGATGTAAATAATACAGAAATGGTATTTGGTTTTCGTGTCCGGAAACATGTTTATCACATCGAGCGGCCCGTCGACACTGGAATGTTTGTTCATGGGTGAATTTGTTTTTCTAAAATCACATGATGAAATAAACATTATCTTTGACAATAAAAGTCAAATGTTCTATTCGTCATATTCGTTATATATAATTTATCATCCAAAACTGGCTCCCACAGGAGATATCGCTTGGATGAGATCAAGCGATATCTAGACTGTAGATATCGCTGCAATGAAATTACATCACAATGCTTTGCAGACCATTGTGACGTCACCGGTTACTATGACGTCACAATCAAATGACATCACTAATGGCTCTGCTACTGAAGCTGTTAGCAGTACTTTTTACACTGAAGACCCTGCTAATTACTGTCTACAAATTGAAAAAGTTGGAAGAATGATGTTGGATGATAAATAAAATCTCACCCTCGTGTCTTTTGATATCAAATATGTCAACACTCGTTGATAAAAGTGGCAGAAATCCTCGGCAAGCCTCGGAATTTTTCCACTTTTATCAACTCGTGTTGATATATTTGATATCAAAAGACACGAGGGTGAGATTCTCTATATATTCTACTTCACCATAACTAGTGTAAGCCTATTTTAAAGTATAGGAGGTAAGCTAGTCTTAGCGCTAAATTCTCTTTGTGTATGTGGTCCTAAGCATTTATAAAGAAATAAACGACGAGCACATTATAACACTGCAGGGAGAATAAACCATTAGGGGTGCAGCCCCGAGTGGTTTATTCTCCCTGCAGTGTTTTATTGTACGATAAACAACGACCACGATTCGTTTATTTCCTATGTGAGATATCAACATTTTGTACAGCTCTTTTTAAGGATGTCAATAAATTGTACAAGCTTTAAGAACATTTACCCGTATTTAATAATGATGACTCCCTGAGTAGAATCCGACCTCGGCGAAGTCGGACAAGTCCCCAAGGGGTTTAGAAGGGACGTCATAATAAGGGAGTACTCGGTGTATCCGGTTTCGGTATAAGCGAAATCCCCCTTTACCCAACTTGGTTATATCCGAGGTGACTGTGAAGACAAGTCGCTGGATACGTTACATTTCATATTAATATTGTTCAAGAAAAACGCGTTTTTAGAAATCCATATGAAATACTGTATCAAACTTCCACACATAGTTAATTAGAAAATATATTTGTTACACATATTTCCGCTTTTCGGATTGGCCGACACCTTCTGAAAACCTGCTTTTATTCTTCGATAAATTCACCACACTTCACGTATATTCATACTTGGGGCGGTATCCGATATTTCTGAATGTTTTCTTAGCAATTAAAAGGTCGACGTCTGGCATTCCACGTCACTACTCCAACCCTTTCGTCAAACAATATCAGTCGCCTCGCCACAGATGCGGAACGTTCACGTTCAAGTGTGCGTCATTAGTAATGTGTACCCTTGGATCACAACCAGAAGATAGAACACACGGGTTCGTGGACGAAAGACTGGACGATCTGAAACAGCTACGCCCAAGTTGACGTATTAATGTACACTTGGATCACAACCAGAAGATAGAACACACGGGTTCGTGGACGAAAGACTGGATGATCTGAAACAGCTACGCCCAAGTTGACGTATTAATGTACACTTGGATCACAACCAGAAGATAGAACACACGGGTTCGTGGACGAAAGACTGGACGATCTGAAACAGCTACGCCCAAGTTGACGTATTAATGTACACTTGGATCACAACCAGAAGATAGAACACACGGGTTCGTGGACGAAAGACTGGACGATCTGAAACAGCTACGCCCAAGTTGACGTATTAATGTACACTTGGATCACAACCAGAAGATAGAACACACGGGTTCGTGGACGAAAGACTGGATGATCTGAAACAGCTACGCCCAAGTTGACATTAATTGTCACTTCTTTTCTTTTCTCAAGTGTTTGTTAAAGTTTGTTTGTTTGTGCGTTTTTAATGCCGAACTCAGCAATATTCTAGATATATAGAGAATCTCACCCGAGTGTCTTTTGATATCAAATATATCAACACGAGTTGATAAATTTGGTATCAAAAGACACGAGGGTGAGATTTTATTCATCATCCAACATCATTCTTTCAACTTTTTCAAGTTGTAGACAGTAATTATCAGTGTCTTCAGTGTAAGAAGTACTGCAAACAGCTTCAGTAGCAGAGCCATAAGTGATGTCATTTGGTTGTGACGTCATGGTCACCAGTGACGTCACAATGGTCTGCAAAGCATTGTGATGTAATTTCATTGCAGCGATATCTACAGTGTAGATATCGCTTGATCTCATCCAAGCGAAATCCCCCCGTGGGAGCCAGTTTTGGATGATAAATATAGTGGTCAGCAAATAGTTGGACCCGACAATACAGTGCTTGACATCATGAACATCGATCAACGCAGTGGGAAACGATGAAATGCGATCAACCAAGTCAGCGTGCCTGACCACCCGTTCCACTTAGCCGCCTTTCACAACAAGCATATGTTGCTTGGGGTCTATATTCCTATTGATACTCAAACGTCACATTGAAAGAATAACGTCAACTTCAACGTCAACGTCAACGTCAACGTCAGCGTCAACGCCACAGAGAACAATCAGTTTCTACTATCTGTCTAAATGGATTCTATTGGGCGTAAAGGTCAAAACAACGGTGAAAATTATATGTATGAAGCACTGAAAATTAGCGACAATATATTCACAAAAAGGGACAGAAACCCTTGAATACATTCATGTGGGTGGTCGGGTAGCCCAGTGGTTTAAGCGTTCGCTCGTCACGCCGAAGACCCGGGTTCGATTCCCGACATGGGTACAATGTGTGAAGCCAGTTTCTGGTGTCCGCCGCCGTGATATTGCTTGAATATTGCTTAAAACGGCTTGTTCCGGTATAACACGAGTTGGTCACGAATGACGTGGCGTGAGAGATTTCTGAAGTTGTTAATGAACCTGTGGCGGTGAAATAAATAAATAAATAAAAAATAAAAAAAAAATTAAAAAAAATGAATGAATGAATGAATGAATGAATGAATGAATGAATGAATGAATGAATGAATGAATGAATGAATAAATAAAGTCATATGACGTTAATGGGTAAAGTGATTGATCGACTCACATACAATAGAGTTATATATTGTTTTATTTTCTACCTGTATAGATTTATAATTAATGAACCATTTCATCAGGGGCCTAGTGGTTAAAGCATTCACTCGTCACGCTGAAGACACGGGTTCAATTCTCCACATGGGCGCAATGTGTGAATCCCATTTATTTCAGTTATATCACGGCGTGTCAGCGTGATTTTGGAGGAAAGCCCAACGTGATGCAAGTCCTTTATGATTACCACTTTAGTGGAACACACAAGCACACGAACAAATCGAGAAACTCACGATCAAATTTGTCGTACATGCCTAAGGGACGCAAGCGACTGGTTCGTACCCATCTTGTTTGCTGTACACTCGGTGAATCTAAAAGTGAATCGCGTGTCTATCATTTCATTTCTTCTTGTTACAGAATGTTATGGCTGGTTCTAACGGTAGCGTGTGTGGCCATCATGAGTTTCCAAATTATCGACCGCATCATCTACTACTACGACTACCCCGTCACCGTGAACGTCCAGGTCAACTACAACAAGACGCTCTTCTTCCCCACTATCACCATCTGCAACCAGAACGCTTTCCGGTAGGTGCATAGCCTAAACTTCTACCTTTTACGTATATGAATATATTCTGATTTGACGGCTTGTTTATTTGTTGTTTAACGCCGCACTCAACGATATTTCATCTATATAACGGCGGTCTGTAAATAACCGAGTCTGGACAAGACAATCCAGTGATTGACATCATGAGCATCCAAGGATACGGTGACATGCATTAACATCAGCCTGACCACCCGATCCCTTTTTACGACAAACATGGGTTGCTTAAGACCTATTCTACCCAGGGTCCCGATTTGGCGGTATATTTACTGAAACCTCGTTCAATCTAATTAAATTCAGATCTTTTGTTTTGATACGATCCCTCTCTGCACGAAGATCAGACCGCCCAATCTAAATGGCAGATGCGTGGGTTCTTGAGCCAATCAGATGTCAGCTTTCTAAAATGATTCGGCTACATTTTTTTACTCACATAATTCGGAAATTTCTATTACTACTAATGAAAACCCACACAGAACACAAATATTCCTTTGACACTCCCTTTTGGGTGTAGATGCTATGGCGCTCAGAAACGACAGGATGTATAGAATATTCATATGAATTTAATGGCGCGGCCTGATTTATCTACATTCGGAACGATACAGAAATCAGGGATTCTTGTGTGAATACCGAGGGAATCTTAAAACCTCAACGCTGATTGGTTGATGAAAAAGTTCACCTGACACCCGGAAGTGTCTTCAGACCTTCGCGCAGAGTGAGTGAGTATGGTTTTATGCCGTTTTGAGCAATATTCAAGCAATATCACGGCGGGGACACCAGAAATGGGCTTCACACATTGTACCCATGTCGGGAATCGAACCCGGGTCTTCGGCATTACGAGCGTACGCTTTAACCACTAGGCTACCCAACCACCCATATGTATTCAATAGTTTCTGGCCCTTTTCGTGAATATATTGTCACTAATTTTCAGTTCTGCATTCATATAATTTTCACCTTTGTTTTGCCCCTTTCGCCCAATAGAACCCATTAAGACTAGAAAGTAGAAACTGATTGTTCTCTGTGGCGTTGAGTGAGTGAGTGAGTGAGGTTTAGCGCCATTTTTAACAGTATTCCAGTTATATCGCGGCGTGTCAGCTTAATGTGGGAGGAAAGCCCGAAGTGAAACCCACGAGCACTGTGGCGTTGACGTTGACGTTTATGTTGAAGTTGACGTTGACGTTATTCTTTCAATGTAACGTTTGAGTATCAATAGGAATATAGACCCCAAGCAACATATGCTTGTTGTGAAAGGCGACTAAATGGATCGGGTGGTCAGGCACGCTGACTTGGTTGATCGCATTTCATCGTTTCCTTTTGTTGTTCGATGTCCATGATGTCAAGCACTGGATTGTCGGGTCCAACTATTTGCCGACAAATATCATATATCTGGAATAGTGCTGAGTGTGGCGTTATAAACGCACAAACAGACACACTTTTAACAAACACTTGAGAAAAGAAAGAAGTGAAAATTAATGTCAACTTGGACGTAGCTGTGTCAGATCGACCACTCTTTCGTCCACGAACCCGTGTGTTCTATGTTCTGATTGCGATCCAAGTGTACATTAATACATCAACTTGGACGTAGCTGTTTCAGATCGACCACTCTTTCGTCCACGAACCCGTGTGTTCTATGTTCTGATTGCGATCCAAGTGTACATTAATACGTCAACTTGGACGTAGCTGTTTCAGATCGACCAGTCTTTTCGTCCACGAACACGTGTCTTCTATCTTCTGACTGTGATCCAAGTGCACACATTACTAACGACGCACACTTGAACGTGAACGTTCCGCATCTGTGGCGAGGCGACTGATAATGTTTGACGAAAGGGTTGGAGTAGTGACGTCGAAAGCCAGATGTCGACCATTCAATTGCTTAGAAGACATTCAGAAATATCGGACTGCTTTCTATATAAACAAGTGCCATTGGTGACCCAGTCACTTTCTATTGGTAATCCAGGGTAAGGTAAACCATCCAACAAAACGCGTTACAGACACGAAGGAGGTGCATAGAATTTGGGCTCATAAGACTATTGAGTGAGTGAGTGAGTTGGGTTTAACGCCGCTTTTAACAGTATTCCAGTTGTATCACGGCGTGTCCGGAAAGCCCGAAGTGATGCAGGTCTCAGACGTTTACCACGTCGGTGAAACCCAATAGCACGGGTATGGTGCTGACAAAACCTAGAAACATAATCGGGGCGAACCGGGATTCGAACCCACAATCACAGGTTTCTGGCATGCCCAAGGGACGCAACTCTGCACAGCGAATCGCTGCGCCTTTGACGACTGGGCCACCCGTGCCCCCTCTCCTTCCCCCCATAAGACTATTGAGAGGTCGGTGTGGCAAGTTGAGACCAGAAATCTCTAAAGTCGTTTTAAAGTTAGCAATATTACGTTTACAACATGCTGAGGTAAGGTGAGGTGAAATGGGGTTTAACGTCGCGTCCAATATTATTGCACCTATATTGTGTGTTTGTGTGGATGCTTGTACTAGTCCGGACTGATGCCGATTTAGTGCTAGCTCACTGAGATACCATGCCGCAGTTGAACATGAATACCCCACTCAGACACAGTATACTGACTCCGAGCCGACCAGTCCTTGTTTTAGCCCCTTAATGCCGAGCGCCAGACAGGGTAACAGTAAGTACCATCTTTTAAGGTCTTTGGTGTGACGCGGTCGGGGATCGAACCCCGGACCTTCCGCTCTCCGGGCGGACGCTCTACCACTAGACCACGGAGGCGGTCTTACAACATGCTGAAACCCCATATAAAATCACATGGGATTAATCAAGAAGAATGTCATTGAGTCAACTATCACTGCGTTAAGGTGTCAACCTTTACTTTCATTGGATGAATGACATGACACTATTCATTGTTGCTCTCTGGGGTGAAAAATATATATTAACATTTTCATTTTTACAGCACATGAATTCCCCTCATTGTCATTCATCTCAGTTGTTGATATCTATGTAAAGCAGGGATCACCGTTTTCACAGTCATGGGTTTCCTGACATCAGCACGTACTATTGAACTCGCCACTACAACTCGTTGTTAGCCGAGACAGGATACGGACATATCCAGCGTACTAGTTGTCGGGGACCACCCGCTACCCCTTTTTTGACAATGGTACGCGCCAGTGGTCAGGCCTCATACATAGTTATATGGGGTTAATTGTCAAGTCAAAACTCAACTTATCCTGGCATACCTGTAACGTTTGTTTGTTTGTTGTTTAACGCCGCACTCAGCAATATTCCAACTAAATAATGGCGTTCTGTAAATAATCGAGTCTGGACTAGACAATCCAGTGATTGACATCATGAGCATCGATAAACGCAATTGGGATATCATGCATCAACCAAGTCACCAATATACAGACACAGTCACCAATATACAGACACAGTCACCAATATACAGACACAGTCACCAATATACAGACACAGTCACCAATATACAGACAGAGTCACCAATATACAGACAAAGTCACCAATATACAGACACAGTCACCAATATACAGACACAGTCACCAATATACAGACAAAGTCACCAATATACAGACACAGTCACCAATATACAGACACAGTCACCAATATACAGACACAGTCACCTATATACAGACACAGTCACATACAGACACAGTCACCAATATACAGACACAGTCACATACAGACACAGTCACCAATATACAGACACAGTCACATACAGACACAGTCACCAATATACAGACACAGTCCCCAATATACAGACAAAAACAACAAGCCCAAACATTCCAATGCAAGTAAAATCAGGAAATATTTCGACTTGGAGTAAGGGGTCACTCCATACGTTGAAAGTTTTGCACCTTCATACCGCGTTCATTCTAAGTTGGAAACACCCTGTGAACATAATTATACATGTTAAGGTTTGAAGAAGAATATACATATTGCCCAAATCATGTATTAATTGGCCAAGAATGATACAGAATCTAAACAGTACCACTCCAATATATTTAGCCACTATGATAAAGTCTATATTTATCACAACTAACCTGTACCTTACCGCCATGTTATACCCCCTGTAGTTTGCACTGATAAAACCATCATTGCTTCATACGCTTCAAATATCGGTAAAGTAACGCGAGGCTATCGCACATGGTTTTTTTCAAAGGATGTGGCACATTCGTTTTTGCGCCGAGGGAAAACATTAAGAGGTTATTATCTTGCTTATCACGACTGGCTCCAAGGGATGGTTGGTACATGATACTCGCTCTCCCTTAAAAGTCTACTTCCAGCGCTTAACCTACACTGTTAAACGACTGGCACTGCTTGCCAGAATCTGGTCGGTCTCACTGCCTACGAATGACTTTCGTGAAGACAGGATTGACTTATGGAGTTTAATTTCTTTATAATTTCTTTGCGACATATCGTGCACTGCTCGTACCTTTATCAAGAAAGTGATCCGGGTAGGATACGCTATGCAGTTTGGGATTACAGTAAACTACGTTTATAACGAACACGGTTATAACGAACTGACCGATATAACGAACCCATTTTTAGTCCCGACCATTTGTTGTATAAATGCTGTATATATGCATATAACGAACTACGGTTATTACGAACTAAAATTAATGGTCCCTTTTAGTTCGTTATAACCGTAGTTAACTGGATATTGAAAGAGATGAACAAAAACAACAATCACGGTTAAGGTGACATGAAGCAAGGGATGAAGCCAGGAACAATACTGTTGTTTTGTTGTTTTTGTTGTTTATTTTAGAAAAAAAATAAAATTAATTGTTTCACATTAGGTACCTCGATTTTACGACAATCCCCACAGGACGACGTGACTGATCTTACGGATCGTAGTATGTTGTTGTTGTTTGTTGTTTAACAACACTCAGAAATATTCCAGCTACATGACGGCGGTCTTTAAATAATGAAGTCTGGGCCAGACAATCCTGTGAGCGTTGTAGATATTACTTGGGAACAGCTTCTGATATTCGCTCTATCGTCACATGGTCCATTTTCTGATGTGTGTTACTAAGTTGTACAAGGAACTCGCGCTCCTTAACGTATCTATTAAATGTACAGATCTTTTCAAGAATTTTATATTTATTCACACACTATTTTACCGTAAGTAGGGCGCTGTGTACAGCGCACGGGTCACAAATCGATTAAGCAGCGCTGGTTGCGGAGAGTAGCTGGGTGGGTGATCGTGTGAAAGCTTGACGCCTGAGACTTTCTGAGGCTTCGGCCCCGCCCTACACTGAAACACATGGGGGCGGTCGGATAGCCTAGTGGCTAAAGCGTTCGCTCATCACACCGAAGAACCTGGTTCGGTTCCCAAAATGGGTACAATGCGTGAAGCCAATTTCTGGTGTCCTCCGCCATGATATTGCTGGAATATTGCTAAAAGCGGCGTAAAATCAAACTCACTTACTCACTCGAAGGCAATGGACTTTGTTTGAAATATGCCTCTTTTCCCCCAGCAGTGAATTGGTATACGGTAGGGCGAGATGGTGAAGTGACTGTTAACCTGCTAGCGCCTCATAACCAGCTAGTTTTGAATACTCCTCTGGGAGCTGAGAATGGCATTGGATCACTGATCCATGTACCGATTGTGTACCGCTTTGACTTACGAGCATGGTAAGATTCAAGATTAGGAAGTGACAGTAGGCTAATGGGATGAAACAACCACAGTCTTGTTTGAAGATCTGTTACTGTTCTCGATTGCCCGTGAAGATCCGGGAAGAATAGGTCTTCAGCAACCCATGCTTGCCGTAAAAGGTGACTATGCTTGTCGTAAGAGGCGACTAACGGGATCGGGTGGTCAGGCTCGCTGACTTGGTTGATGCATGTCATCGTATCCCAATTGCGTGGATCGATGCTCATGATATCAATCACTGGATTGTCTGGTCCAGACTCGATTATTTACAGACCGCCGTCATCTAACTGGAATACTGCTGAGTGCGGCGTTAAACAACTAACAAACAAACGATACATATTTATTTTGTCTTAGTCCTCAGACATACATATTAAGTGTCTGACATATGAACAGCTTCGACTTAAGTGATTATGCTCTGCAGGCGGTTCACATGTCATAGATCCATATGACGTCATCAATTAAACCATGCATTCATAAGTGTATTTCTGTAGAGTAACTATGTTTTGTCGGGTGTTATCCGATATTTGATACATGGGTTTTTTCATCATTTGAAACCTTCGACATACGCCGTCGGTTACAAATAGTGTAGGGGCGGTCGGGTAGCCTAGTGGTTAAAGCCTTCGCTCGTCACGCCGAAGACCCGGGTTCGGTTCCCAAAATGGGTACAATGTGTGAAGCCCATTTCTGGTGTCCCCCGCCGTGATATTGCTGGAATATTGCTTAAAGCGGTGTAAAACCATACTCACTCACTCACTCTTTCACTCACAAATAGTGTAGATGCAACTTGTTTGTATCAATGTTAATACTTAATGATATATAAATATAATAGCATTCATTAATGCATGGATATCAATATAAATGTATTTACATATATTAGTGTAAATATTTTAACGGCCCTTCATTGAAAATCACTTCACATAAAAAACATAATCTTATTTGTAGGTACACAGGAGCAGTTTTTTCATTGTATTATTAGAACGCAAATTATGTCTCACATAATCTTAAAAAAGCTATTTAAACAAAATAAATAGTGTGGACAAGTTGTTTAATGCATACGTAAGACACTCTTAATAAAAGATTAAAAAATATAAACTGCCACACAAAGAAAGTTTTCATTTGAAAATTAGATTTCATCCAAAAATTACAAACATTATGTAAACGTTACTAGGCTGAAAACAGTCGCCGAAACACTGCAAAATTAACGTCCAATTCAGAGTGAGTGAGTTTGGTTTTACGCCGCTTTTAACAGTATTCCAGTTATATCACGGCGTGTCAGCTTAATGTGGGAGGAAAGCCCGAAGTGATGCAGGTCTCAGACGTTTACCACGTCGGTGAAACCCACGAGCACGGGTATGGTGCTGACAAACCTAGAAACAGAATCGGGGCGAACCAGGATTCGAACCCACAATCATAGGTTTCTGGCATGCCTAAGGGAGGCAACTCTGCACAGCGAATCGCGGCGCCTCAGACGCCTGGGCCACCCGTGACCCCAAAGTCCAATCCTATGATACCCGTATCAAATACATCACCATCGAATAACCATTTCTTGTTTCATGTGATGCTTCCACCCTTCTTGGGTGTATACTCTCAATACAGCTCGGATTTTTATAATCTTTCAGAGAATATTTGGAGACAGGTTCCACATCAAGCCTATGAGACAGCAAGTACAGACATGTATATTACGAAGAAGGGCATCCGTGTATGTCTTGGTAAGGGAGTTTCATAATGAATTATCTGCGTCTGTTCTAGCGCCAGCAAGGCCGCCCAGCTGAAGCATTACCAGCTTCTGACTGACCTCTACACGGGAAGGAAGACGAGTTCTGACTGTGACTACGGCGTCAGGAACTTCAGTCATCTGACTTTGAGGGAACTCTTCAAAAACACAACACATACGAAGGAGGACCTCATTGTCAGGTGAGTGTATTCATTGGATGTTAATGCATGTCATCGATCCCAATTGCGTGGATCGATGCTCATGATATCAGTCACTGGATTGTCTGGTCCAGACTCGATTATTTACAGACCGCCGTCATATAGCTGAAATATTGCTAAGTGCGGCGTTAAACAACAAACCAACCAACCAACCAACCATTGGATGCTAGACCGCCTCCGTGGTCTAGTGGTAGAGCGTCCGCCCGGAGAGCGGAAGGTCCGGGGTTCGATCCCCGACCGCGTCATACGAAAAGACCTTAAAAGATGGCACTTGTTGTTACCCTGTCTGGCGCTCGGCATCAAGGGGCTAAAACAAGGACTGGTCGGCTCAGAGTCAGTATACTGTGTCTGAGTGGGGTATTCATGTTAAACTGCGGCATGGTATCTCAGTGAGCTAGCACTATAAATCGGCATCAGTCCGGACTAGTACAAGCAGCCACACACATACACGTGCATGCACGTCGCTATGTAAGTGCAATAATCTTGAACGCGACGTTAAACCCCATTTCACCTCACCTCGATTTGCCATGACCTTTGGTCTATCAGCACCATCACCTTGTGGTACTTGTCTAAGGCCTGCATCACTTGGGTTCTCCTCCTACATCAAGATATTACTGAAATACGTGTTTTTCCCCAGCTGCACGTGGAGGGGAGTAGCGTGTGGGTCTGAGAACTTCACCGAGGTGGTGACCGACCACGGCGTTTGCTACACCTTCAACATCCCCGACGAGGGTACCAGGGACGTGCTTCGTGTCTTTTCACCAGGTAGGTCCAGCAACAGACCGACCGTCTAATAGATGGAAATGTAACTCCTCCAAAACTAACACACACGTTTCACCACCCCTCGCATTTGCGACTTAAAATTATTTCCGATTTTTCAAAATCTTAAAAGAATATAAACAAAAGTAATACAAAATATTCGAGGTCACTAAAATTCATTACCATACATTTGAAAATGATTACATAAAAAATCAACTTGAAAGCTACGAGACCGCTGTTGGAAGCGAAGTAAATACACGCTGGTCAAGTAACCAAAACGGCGCTTTGCGAAACGAACAGTTTCGATTGACGAGTTAAATGAGAAGTTAATAGTTTATAACGAAACATTTTCTGGACAATAACAAACGGTAAAAAGCGATATTAATTCCATAAATGACCATCTGTCATTAGTTTGCTTTGTCAATGTGGAACTAGCGTAAATAGAAAGTCAAGAGTTTGTTAACGGGCCAGACACTTACGATAAAGGGAGACAATTTGCAGGGAGCTAACTCTTGTATGACAATAGTTCTGTCAAAGTGTCATTTTCACTGCAGTGAAATGTCAAGTGTTATGTTCCCTGCAATGAAAATGTCACTTTTCTCAATTTCTCAACTCAGTCTTTCACTCTGAAGAATGTAATAAATGCATATTCTGGCTTATTAAACCCGTAAGAGACTAAGTTACTCCCACACAATTTATTCAGTTAAATACCAACTATATCAAACCTATTTATTTTATATCCAGCAGTCCGCTACATGTGTTTACATCAGTTGATACGCTTATAATTTTATATTAAACCTTAACTTAGAACGAGCTTGAATATTAAAGCTTGCTTGATGTTTAACGCGCACAAAGTAATATCCCCCCTATGTGAGGGCTGCTCGTACATTATCGAGTCTTGACCAGGCAAACCTGTGATTGACATAGAAAGCAACGGTCCACGTAGTCGGGGTACGATGCTACGCAATCAACCAGGCTGCCGAGTCTGACCACTGCATCCGTTATGTCGCATTTAACCACAAGCACAGGGCTACCCGTGAAGAACCGGGGTCTTCAGCAACCCATGCTTGCCGTAAAAGGCGACTATGCTTGTTATAAGAGGCGACTAACGGGATCGGGTGGTCAGGCTCGCTGACTTGGCTGATGCATGTCATCGTGTCCCAATTCCGTGGATCGATGCTCATGATGTCAATCACTGGATTGTCTGGTCCAGACTCGATTATTTACAGACCGCCGTCATATAGATGGGATAATGCTGAGTGCGGCGTTAAACAACAAACAGACAAACTTTGGAGTCCCAACGGGGTTTGAATATTAGAATGGTCACACTATGTTGTTGGTATATATTCAGAAATACTTAAATTAATTCATATAAAATTATCATTTGTGTATTATTTGTTATTGCTGTCCTTGAGAGAACAAATTCAGCCATGAAATGAATGAGTTTTTAAGTTTGTCGTTTCAAGCATTGAAAACACAATCACGAAATTGCCACCCTAACAAAATAGTCATTTAAAAAACATTTAAAACAGAAAACCACTTTCGTCTTGTTTTCTTCGTCTTACTGTATTTAATAACTAATAATTTTCAAAAATGCACAGCTGAGAATGAATGATTAAAGCGTTCGCTCATCACACCGAAGACCCTGGTTCGGTTCCCAAAATGGGTACAATGCGTGAAGTCCATTTCTTAACTTTAATTTTACTATAGGACGCGGGTGGAATAAGAGTTATCGTCCTTGTTTGAAGTGCGAGATGAGCACGAGTCTCCGTTGCGCTTGTCACAGTATGGCAAGAGTTGGTCTCTCAAAAGTTGTCAGTGACTGCTGTTGAATTATATTGTGATGTTTTAATTTCACACAGACAACGTATTTGTAACTAGATACTTGCCGGATTGCAAAGGAACCGTCACTCAACATGGCGGAATATGATCGGAGTCAAATATACAGGAAATTGAGTTCATTGTTGCCTGGAACGAGAAACGACATTTGCTAAATCCTTGCTTAATGAACTGTATGCTTAAATTATGCAAAAATGACCTCTAGCATATATAGATATATAACACAGCTAGGATGTTGCGGATAACTTCGAGATTTAGAACAAAAATATGAACTTGAACTGAAAAAATAAAACCTTCGAGACAACCGTAGTTGACTTTAATGTACAGGTAAGTGCAGTCCTGTGACATGAAGGTGGTGACACATGATATCAAGAAGCAGGACTTCACATGTAAGCTGCACTATAACACTATTGGCGTGAGGTCGAGACAAAAATGTCGAGAGGATCATAGCCGAAATAACGAAAGGAACCCTTCGAGATAACCGTAGTACAGAGAGAGGGATCATGTTGATGCAATCAGGCGAGTAATTGAGTCAACTCGTGGGACATACGTGAGACTCCCAGTGAGTAACAGAGTAGAGTAGGTCAGATCGTGATGATTCAGCTACAACGACCAGTGTGCTGGATGCGTCGAATAGTAATATTGCCTATTTCAAACCGAACGTCGGTTATTAAGCATAACGGGTGTGTGTGAATGTGATTGTCCATATTTGCCGAGAGACGACTGTGAATAAACATGATATAACCAATGCCTAATGGTATCTCTCTCTCTCTCTCTCTCTCTCTCTCTCTCTCTCTCTCTCTCTCTCTCTCTCTCTCTCTCTCATGCTCGTGGGTTTCACCGAAGTGGTAAACGTCTGTGACCTGCATCACTTCGGGCTTTCTTCCCGCATTAAGCTGACACGCCGTGATATAACTGGAATACAGCTCAAAGCTGCGGCAAACTAAACTACCTAAATCACACACACACACACACACACGCACGCACGCACGCACGCACGCACGCACGCACGCACACACACACACACACACACATACACACACACACACACACTCTCTCTCTCTCTCTCTCTCTCTCTCTCTCTCTCTACATAGTATATATACAGGTATGTAGTTAATCTGGTTCTTGAATTACACAAGTCAGTGGCCAAATGTTACGAACCTTGTATCTAACATACACACAGCCACAGGTCCCTTGCTATACCCCAATACATGACGACCATTGCCTCGTGTACCAGGAGCAGAGAATGGCTTGTCCCTGACGCTGAATGTGGAGCAATACGAGTACATGCCGGGGCCCCACGACGCCGCAGGGGTGAAGATCCTCATCCATGACCACAAACAGTTCCCCAAGGTGCAGGAGCTCGGCATCGCCCTACCCACGGGGACGCATTCATTTGTCGGCATGCAGCTCATCTCGGTAAGTAAGGTGCACGTTTCAAAGACTGGGTTCAGTATTCCTTTTTTGTTACCATACTTACACGATGCCGTGACATTTCAAATTTACCATTTCCGATCGGATCTTTTCAACCAGCGTCTTAGCATCTTAGAAATATATACAGCCACGTACCTCGAAATAGTAACCTGTCGGCACTATCTGCAATGGCACCAGATCTTCACAATATAAAAAAGAGATGATCGCAATTCACTGTGTAGAGTTGCGCCCACTAGACGTGACAGGATCCGGTGATGTACGAATCCTAAATTCGGGCTGATTATGGTTCTGGGTCTGTCAGTACCATGCCATGCTGGTGGGTTTCACCATTATAGAGACGGGGGTCTCAGGACTCTAAGGTGCCGCGATTCTCAGTTGCTCCCCTTAGACGTGACAGGATCCGCTTACCACCGGTTAGAATCCTGGAGAAACTGTTGCAACCACATCACTCACTAATTGGATTAATGAAAGAAAGAATATTCGTATGGGAAAATAATATTCCACTGGAAATTAAGTAAATAGTAAGATGCTGGCTGTGGAATAAATGGGTTAAGACACATAAGCCATGTCTTTGGAAGACTATAAGTTTAGATGTTGTAGACAACTGATATACGTTTCCAATATTGGTAAGAAATGAGGGTAAAAATAGCGATCAGTGATATACAATATCTGCCTCGTTGTGAGATGTATCAACAGGTTTTAGCTAAACCCGTCACTGTAGTGTAATGTAGACTCAGAAAACTATTTATTTACGGGAGGGGAGGTGAGGTGAAATGGGGTTTAACGTCGCGTCCAAGATTATTGCACTTATATAGCGACGTGCATGTACGTGTGTGTGTTTGTGTGGCTGCTTGTACTAGTACCGATTTATAGTGCTAGCTCACTGAGATACCATGCCACAGATTAACATGAATACCCCACCCAGATAAAGTATACTGACTCGAGTGCAGATATATGGAAATGCTAATTTCCAATCCAGTCAGGGGTACGTAATTTGAAGCTTACTTCAATCAGAAAACCCATTGAGCGTAATACTATTAATTAGTAAAATTCATAAACACAAACTGAAATTATGCAAATCCATTTCCTCACCAACAGACCGACTATTTTCGATAAAAGTTGTTTATTTTCACTTTTAATTTATGTACATATTTCTTCCCCCAATATACACTAAAACGTTCGTGACAATGAGACAACATTCAAAAGTTTCGCATGAATAAAATATACACAATTCGAGCTCGACACATCTAATACACAATCGATTATGTCATCTTAAAGGGGAAGTGTACAGGCAAAAATCACTTTCTTTCTTATTTTAAACAAATCACAATTTTAGAATTAGTTAGTATCAGTGTTTGAAAATATACTCATTTTTCTCACAGTGAAAGTAGGGAGCTCACAATAAGTGTGAAAATGTCATGCCGTTATGAGGCCTTCGGTTTCCGAGCTAAACAGGCCTGAGTTATCCCCCTTAGATTATGACGTAATTGGTGCCAATTTAACTCGGTCCCTGTCTTGTCATAACGCAAAAGATATTAAGTACCAGTTTATGGTGATACAACATGGCATCCGATACATTGCCTGGTCCGAAGAAGTTCCCTTGACACCTTCAAGAAATCGCTAAACCACACGATTTTGAACCAAAACGAGCAAGCTTCGCGGTATGGAAACGATGAAAATCAAGTGGAAACAAGAGAAGACCCACATCACCTGTTGTATCTTGAACAGCGCGGCACCGTACAAAATAGGCTGCGCATATGGGCAGATAGAACCACACACCTCTACATACACCACGTGAAACGAGTCTTATGACGTCATTCCTTTATTAATTGGCAAGGGGCATAAGCCATGGTGTGCCCATTCGTCACCACTCGCCCCTTTTCGTAACCTGCAAGATGACTCGTCCCCCTATCGATGAATGTTATTTGCGAATATACGACAAACCAATCAGAATGCGCGTATGATTTCGAGTTCTTTGTCAAATAATCCCTCAGAAATAATTTTTGATTCTACATATGTCTTGCATCTAAAAATATACCCAAGACACAGTTAAATGTGTTTAATCATACTGTGTAATTCCGCACGTCCCGATGTGCTTTAAATTGCATCTGAAATATATATAATATATGGGGAAATATATGTGAATCATTACGCAACGAGTTGACAATTGTTTTAGGTTTGCCCGTTTGCGCTAAAACGGACCCCGGTCGCAAAAATGGCCACGAGAGGGTCACGAGTCGCTATTCGGCTTGTCCCGGAATAACACGAGTTGGTCACGAATGGGTGTGTTTATTATAGAAATAGAACTCTCGGGAAATGTGAAAAATATTAACCGATTTTATGAATAAAATCAATTAGATAATTGTGATATTTTTATTGTTTGGCCTCTGAAACTACTAGGTAAATATTTTTCATGATGAAAAAGGACAAGAAAAATAGTGTTTTTTTCGTGTGAACTTGCCCTTTAAATATAACTTCGGCTATACCGTGTTCGGATAAACTAACAGCACATGTCTTTCTCCAGTTGGGAAAATTTTGTCTTTTTTAATCTGATAAAAATCGATTCTTTGTTACCCCAGGACGTGATTGAAACCAGTTTCCGTGCAGTGACAGGAAATATCGGATTCTGACAGTAAATATGAGTAATTTTCTGCGATATATACCACGGGGAACATTGTTATCGTCTGAATGTGATTGGCCCGTGTGGATTAGCTGCAGTGAAGCCTGCTGTTAATCAACGTCATTAATGGAAGACTTCGCTCGCATAGCGTAATCTGCCTGACGCTGAAAACATCATGTTTCTCGTTTCATGTTTCATTTACAACTCATCACCTGTGTGTAACGCGCCACTAGCCCGTTGTCTCGGGTTTCAAAGAGAGCATTTGATTACTCATATAAATTTAAAGGATTTTTAAAAACTGGTCGATATTGGTTCGTTTCCTCTTTATTGGGGCTTTGAAATAGTGTTGTCAATGTGTTGAAAGGTCGCAGCAACCTACAAAGAGAAGTGTTTCAGCTGTAGTGTCTCCGGGTAATGCTGGCGGATTTTATGTGATAATGACATGGGTGATAATGTGAGGTGAGATGAAATGGGGTTTAACTTCGCGTCCAAGATTATTGCACTTATATAGCTACGTGTATGTGTGTATGTGTGTGTGGCTGCTTGTACTAGTCCGGACTGATGCCGATTTATAGTGCTAGCACACTGAGATACCATGCCGCAGTTTAACATGAATACCCCACTCAGACACAGTGACTCCGAGCCGACCAGTCCTTGTTTTAGCCCCTTAATGCCGAGCGCCAGACAGGGTAACAACAAGTACCATCTTTCAAGGTCTTTTGGTATGACGCGGTCGGGGATCGAACCCCGGACCTTCCGCTCTCCGGGCGGACGCTCTACCACTAGACCACGGAGACGGTCTGATAATGTGAACGCGCCTACGCTTAGTGGATTGTTTCGTTAATAACCCGGTCACTGCCTTAAGGTCTGGTCATAGCACAGCCGCTTTCAGTGTAGGTAACACAACCCATGCAATATCATACAGTGGGGTGGTCGGGTAGCCTAGTGGTTAAAGCGTTAGCTCGTCACGCCGAAGACCCAGGTTCGATTCCCGACATGGGTACAATGTGTGAAGCCCATTTCTGGTGTCCCCCGCCGTGATATTGCTGGAATATTGCTAAAAGCGGCGTAAAACCATACACACTCACACTCATGTATATCTGAATACACTAGACACATGAGACATAAACAACTCATATCCAACATTCTAAACATTCAACACGGCCACGCTGACTCGCCTAATGTCCAACAATGATTATCTTTCCAAGTACAGTAAATTACGTTTAAAACGAACACTCTTGTAACGAACTGACGGATATAACGAACTGTTTTGGGGTCCCGTCTATTTGCAGTATACATGTTGTATATATGCTTATAACGAACTACGATTATAACGAATTAAAATTAGTGGTCCCTTTGAGTTCGGTATAACCGTAGTTTACTATACTATATTTCTATATCTTTCGTTCCGCATCTCGGTTTAACAGAATTTTAACTCAAGTCTTTATTCTACCTATGAATCGTCCATGATATATCATGATTACTGAACACTCCCACTATAAGAACAGCTGTAACATAAAATGAAACTTCTCGGCTTAGACTGTGAGAAGATATGAAAGCATAATATTTACTCGGAATATTTCGGGACTACTTTCCCTGAGCGGAAGCGTACTTATGTGTTATCTCAGAATAACACGCGCCTTCCCATACTGATATGTAGTGACCCTCGGAGCAATATTCCCCTTCTTCATGGGAATTATTTTGGAATCACACGTGGACGACACGGGTGTTATTACTTCAAACACTACTTGCGATACGCAATACACGGGTCCGTTCTCACTCGGTGCATCTGTTGGTGGGTGAACCCATACGAGTTTTTACAGTCTGTTGCCAGGGTTACGAGTATATATTAAATCTGGTTTATTGTTTTATCACTGTAGGGTAAATAAGGGGAGAAGAGGTGAAATGGGGTTCAACGTCGCGATCAAGATTATTGCACTATAGCGACGTGCATATACGTGTGTGTGTAGTTGCTCGTACTAGTCCGCACTGATACCGGTGTTATAGTGCTAGCCCCTTGAGATACCATGCCGCAGTTTAACATGGATATACCACTAAGACATAATAGCAACTCCGGGGCGACCAGTCCTTGTTTTATTCCCGTAATGCCGAGCACCAGGCAGGGTAACAAAAAGTACCATTAGTTACGTCTTTAGGTTTGACGCGGCCGGGGATCGAAACACCGATCTTCCTGTCCGGGCAGGCTGTGATGCAAGGAGCAATGGAGGTTGTCTATGGAATCCTAGGAGGGACGTTGTCACGACAATGCGACAACACGACAATGTCCCTTCTAGGATTCAATGAGCTATCTATGAACAGATGTCTTCAGGACAACAGCAGTATATACATTAAAATACTGTGTTCAGTCTAAAGCGAACGAATCAAGTTTGTTCATGGCTTCGAATTCAATTCTAAAGTCTTCACTCGCGCATGCTAGTTAAGACATTGATGGATGCTTGAGAGTGAACGATGCACGTATCATGGCCCGTTGGCCGAAGATAGATTTGCTTCGCTACAGATGCTGTTACCGTTATCAAACATGCATCGAAACGTCGAGTGATAAGAATAAGGTTGTTTTAGTCCGCCACTTAACTCTGTCTTCTTTCATGCTACAGTTTCTAAAGTGTAACTTAAAGATAAAATGCATAACCCTGAGGACAAGTATTCAACAAACTAGAAATAAAGCTGTATTGGTAAATATAGAATACATCAATTTATGCTGGAAAGTCTCCATTTGGGATAATGCTCTATTGAACAGTGTTTGGTCAACGTCGCCCTGATCTATTTATCGGGGATACCTGGTGACCCAGGCGTTCAAGTTGCCGCAATTCGCTGTGAAGAGTTGCGTCCCTTAGTCTTAGAATGTGTCACTCACTCACTCACTCACTCTGGTTACTGGCCTGCGGGGAACGTGGGCCAGAATAGGTCCCAAAGACTTGGTTGATGCATGTCATCGATCCCAATGGCGTGGTCCAATCTGGTCCAGATTCGATTATTTCACTCACTCACTGACTCACTCACTCACTCACTCACTCACTCACTCACTCACTCACTCACTCACTCTGGTTACTGGCCTGCGGGGAACGTGGGCCAGAATAGGTCCTAAAGACTTGGTTGATGCATGTCATGATATCCCAATTGTGTTGATTGATGCTTATGATATGAATCGCTAGATTGTCTGGCCCAGACTCGATTATTTACAGACCGCCGTCATACAGCTGGAATATTGCTGAGTGCGGCGTAAAACAACAAGCCAACCAACTCAAAGCTAAATACGGATCAAGTGTTCACAATGTGTGTCCAAGTTAATTGCGTGCATTGTTGCACGTCAACACTATTTCCTGGTTCAGACTCGATTATTTACAAGCCGTGATGTAATATTGGCTGTTGCGGCGTAAAACAACAGTCACTAATGAATCTATTTATCATGTAGGTTGTAAATCTCCCTCGACCCTACGGGGAGTGTAGCTCACCTGATCTCTCCTTCTTCCCTCAATATTCACTGGAGAACTGTGATGTGGAGTGTTTCACGAAAAGGATGGATGCAATCTGTGGCTGCAGACTCTTCTATATGCCGAAGGGAGAAGGTAAGTATTGACCGTACTCGATACAGTATTGCCATCATGGTTCCATTTCTTATTTTACAACTACCCTAACATTTCCATGACCTGTAGATCCGTGAATATCCGGGGTAGAACAGGTCTTCAGCAACCCATGCTTGCCCTAAAAGGCGACTAACGGGATCGGGTGGTCAGGCTCGTCGACTTGGTTGATGCATGTCATTGATCCCAATTGCGTGGATCAATGCTCATGTTGTCAATCGCTGGATTGTCTGATCCAGACTCGATTATTCACAGATCGCCGTTATATAGCTGGAATATTGCTGAGTGCGGCGTTAAACAACAAACAAACAAGCATGACCTGTAATTACAAATAATCTCAGTTCCCATCCAATGGTGACATTAAACGAGGTTTTATAAATAATGTAATTGGCTATAGATAGTTGACAGCTAAAATGCGCTAACTACTATTAACTGTGGGGTAGCCGAGTGGTTAAAGTGTTGGTTTGTCACGCCAAGGACACGGGTTCGATTCCGTGCTCGGGTACTTTGGAAGCCCATTTCTTACAAGCCTATTCGAGGGCACGGGTGGCCCAGCTGTCTGAGGCACCGCGATTCGCTGTGCAGAGTTGCGTCCCTTAGGTACGCCAGGAACCTATTATTTTGGGTTCGAATCCCGGTTCGCCCCGATTATGTTTCTAGGTTTGTCAGCACCATACCCGTGTTCGTAGGTTTCACCGAAGTGGTAAACGCCATAGACCTGCAACACAGGGCTTTCCTCCCACATTAAGCTGGCACGCCGTAAAATAACTGGAATGCTGTTAAAAGCACCCACTCACTATTAGTCTATTCTTATAACAATGCAGAATTAATGGAATCGTGGTACAATTAGTGGCCTGGCTGATTGTGTAACATCGTACTCCTACTATTTGGTTATTTGATCATGTTATCAACCCCTGGTTTGTCTAGACTATTTCCAGAACGTGATAAGCTGTGACATTGTTGACTGCGGTGTAAAACAACATACGAGGGGCGTTCAATAAGTTTTGCAACATCAATATAAGATCAAGTCGCAGAATATCTTTTGCACTTTTTTTTCAATATAATCTCGATTCACCTCAATACACTTATTACATTTGTCCTTTAAGCTTTTAATACCACTTTTATAGAAATCCTCTAACCATGCCTCTGTGGCAGCCTTTATGTCCTCGTCATCCTGGAAGCGTCTTCCACGTAGGGCAGATTTCATTTGCCGGAACAGGAAATAGTCACTGGGGGCTAAGTAAGGCTGTACAGTTAAATCACCCACCCTAAGTGTATTGAGGTTATTGGAGATTGTATTGAAAAATAAAAGTGCAAGACTTGGTCTTATATTGAAGTTGCAACTTATTGAACGCCCCTCGTAAGACTCACTCTCTTATGGTGATTTTAGCTTATACAGTAAACTACGGTTATAACGAACTCAAAGGGACCACTAATTTTAGTTCGTTATAACCGTAGTTCGTTATAAGCATATATACAGCATACCTACAGCAAATAGTCGGGACAAAAAAGTAAGTTCGTTATATCCGTCTGTTCGTTATAAGCGTGTTCGTTATAAACGTAGTTTACTGTATTGTATTACTGACTGTGACTGTGACGTTACTAAACAGTCACTCATTCACTCAGTTACTATTGCCTTTGAGTGTATATGACATATCCTGCTGCAGATAGCCCCGAGTACTGCACGCTGCAGGAACACCATGACTGTTACCAGAAGAAAATTGGTAAGTCTAAACTTTACCTCCCACCACCACCAACTGCTGTGAACGGGAGTATTGTCCTGATGAAGAACCTCATGTCAAAGTTTGCGCGATGCTTCTCTTTGATAGACTCACGCGTGTTTTCAGTACGTTGACATACAATTCACCATTCATAGTCGTTCATTGTCGTAAGTAATCTATGTGTATTATACTATGTGTAGTACCCCAAAAAGTGGGCATAACTTTCTCAGTGGATCTGGTTGCTCTGCACAAATTGGCTGACCCGACGTGTTTCACCTCCGTGGCTTCTTGTTTGCTCTCAGGGTCATAGTGATGGGTAATTAAAAAAAAATAGGGGGCGGTGGGGTAGCCTAGTGGTTAAAGCGTTCGCTCGTCACGTCGAAGACCCGGTTCGATTCCCGACAAAGGTACAATGTGTGAAGCCCATTTCTTGTGTCCCCCGCCGTGATATTGCTGGAATATTGCTAAAAGCGGCGTAAAACCATACTCACTCACGCACACATTGAAAATCTTCTGGCTTCCGGTTGGTTTTCAGGACATCAGTGATGGTGATCCTTGTAGTCATCTACATCCTATAGCATTCTAGGAACTGATTGGGCACACACCTTGACATGTACATGTTTATGAAGGATTGCTTTAAAGATATCAATGGTATCTACAAGAGTGTGGGCTTGCCCCCACATCAATCTGACACGCTGTGATATGACTGAAATAAACACTTACACATTCATATTTACAGATTATATACGTGAGTCTGTGAGAGACACGTGTTCTTGCCCTGTCCCCTGCTCTTTCCACATCTTCGACCCCACCGTCTCCTACGCCACCACATCGACCTTCGTGATAGACCGTTTCCTCAGCAACTCCAACCGCTCCGCCCTCAAAATGAAGTACAAGAACGCGAGAGACATCACCCATCGCCTACAAAGCAACAGGGCCAACCTTCTTAAATCTCTCACAGAAAACCTGGACCGGAAGTTCCGTACGTTGAACCACGTCATTCTTGACGAGTTGGAAGTGAGTATTGAAGAGCAGGAGAAACACCTTGTGAATGTTTCCAATAATTATCTCTGGAACTGGAACAAGACGAACATATATTTTCAATACCAGAACTACATTCTCCAGAAGAACCTTGTACGTGCCCGAGACGCCATGAACGAGAGGACGTTCTCTGTATTAGGCCATGGGGTTCAGGAGTTCACCTTCAGCGTGGAAAGACAAATTGCCCAACTGGTTGACCCACAGATTGACGACCCTGCTGTCCGAGAGGTCCTCTTCCTCATGGTCAAGAACCAGTTGAATGCAAGACTGGATATAGGAAAGAGAACCTTGCAGAACTACACACAACTAATAAAAGGCTTCCTCAATACGTCATCAATTTTTAATTATAAATACCAAAATTTTAGTAGGAAGAACAGCAATTTCATTCTTCCTCGGGAACTTTTGCTGCAAGCGTTTACACGCAGTAATCATGTTCGTGTGAGGTCTCTTAGAGTCGAAAGGGATATAATTACCATGGCAACATGGATGAAAGAGTACGGTAGAATAGCAGAGGAAGCATTTTATAATAAAACGGTAAATGACACAGAATTGTACATAGCAAATGTGAAATTTTTACGTGCGTCCAGAGAATTTTTACAAAGTAAAAGCATGTTTTTTAACGATTTCATCCAGTGGCCAGTGACCCAGCTGGATTTAAGAGAACAACAATTCCTTCAAATGCGAAGTGACTTTATCCACATGCGGGATACAATGTTGGGGTATTTCTCCAGCGTTTCCGAACTAATCCATGGCATCGAGAGTTCTTTGATGGCTGACATGGAAGTCGGAATACAGATGTGCAAGGAATACTTAACCCATGGGAACGTAAGCAAAGTGCATGTAGCAGAGCTCTTTACGTCTGAGAAAATCCAAAATGGTGTCAATAACTTGAAAGTCTTTTTTGACACTGTGAGGAATCGTGGTCAGAATATCTTCGACGGCTGGGATCAGATATCGATGGCCACACAGCAGATGTGGAACTTCACGCTAAGCCAGGTTAACCTGATGCGGTACTGGAAGTATAAGAAGATCGGACGGTATCTCAGGAATTACACCCAGGTGGCTGCAGAGATCGCGCAGGAGTTTGCAGATCACCGGGACATGATTGACGTCCGGTGTCGGTTCCTGAACAAGGACGAGGAGTTCCTGCAGAGTCTCGGGAGTCTCGTGGAGCACATGGAAATGTTCCATGCCAGCAGTCACGTGGACTCAGCATTTGTCAGGTTGGTCTTGTCTTACTTGTGTTGCAAGTGTGTGTGTGTGTGCGTGCGTGTGTGCGTGTGTGCGTGCGCGTGCGTGCGTGCGTGTGTATGTGTGTGTGCGCGCGTCTCTGTGTTTTCAGATTTAAGGGTGTTTTCAAGTATTTCACGATCTGGAATTTTTACATTTGAAATATCCGTATAAAACCATCGGATCCGAATGAAATTGCCTTGCGTTGAATACTCAATAACACCTTCAAGATACATTCTATTTTATCATATCATGGGTAGGTGTCTCGGCAGGATAAAGCCAACGGATAAAAACGATATACGTACGGCGCATTAACAGATAGAGATGCAAATATCAAAGGCCAACTAGGGACTACTTTAAGTCTTTTTTACAAATAATCATGGCTTCGCCCTTGTTCGGCGATCGAGTCAGAACAAACTATCGGGAATCTGGAGAAACTACTGGGATAATTGCTATCATTATCAAAGAACAGTTTAATATACTGAAAATCAGTGTCTATCTGTGACTTAGCTAAGGCATTTTATTAGTTTTGGTAACTTGTTAGATATATATTGCGAAACAATTTAGCGAGGACACAAGCCGCTGTATGTACATCTGATTGCACTTTGTAACGTTATGACAGGCAGAATCTAAACAAACGTGACTCATAGACTAGGGCTAGAGGGGTTTCCCTTTAATAAAGCGCAGTACTCTTGGACAGACCGATGGATTGCCACGAAAGCCAAGTAGAAACAATTTGCGTAGGCAATTGTTGTTTTGCTTATATGTAGATAAAGTACTGTCTGAGAAAGAGGTTTCAGCTGGAACTACATTGGCTACTGTCTTCTGTCCGAATAACACATCACTTACCCTCAGACGTAATATATATATATGCGCACATTCCAGAAATATTTAGGCTATGTTTGTAAGGCATGGGAAGAGATTTTTCGAGCACAGAATTGAAGAATGACATTATATGATAAAGAGGTTATCACGCTTGTGTGGTTGGGGATGGTAAATATACTGCATTAGGAATACACACTATGTATTTAGCTCGCCAAGGCTCGCAAAGTAAATTTTTATTCCTGATACAGGGTATTTACCATCCCCAAACACACTCGAGTGATAACCTTTATTGATCCTTTAACTGATGCTCTGTCTTCGCCAGGGATAACTTCCTAAAGGTCAATGTCTTCTACCGAGAACTCAGCTATGAGAAGATAACTCAACAAGTTGCCTACGACATTTTTGCCTTACTATGTAAGTATACAAACTGTATTTGTCATATACTATACGACCCGTGAAGACTCCGGGGTAGAATAGGTCTTCAGCAACCCATGCTTGCCGTAAAAGGTGACTATGCTTGTCGTAAAAGGCGGATCGGGTGGTCAGGCTCTCTGACTTGGTTGATGCATGTCATCGATCCCAATTGCGTGGATCGATGCTCATGATATCAATCACTGGATTGTCTGGTCCAGACTCGATTATTTACAGACCGCCGTCATATAGCTGGAATATTGCTGAGTGCGGCGTTAAACAACAAACCAACCAACCAACCATATACTATACAGACGCACAATGGTTCTACCAAACTGCCCTATGGCCCAGGGGAAGGTCAAGCGTCGTGTGTCTTTAAGCATCCAACACGCAGCTCAAGTTGTATTAATTATGGGCAATATCCAGTTCCTCGGTTCATTTCACTGGGATTGGGGAGAATAGGGTTGTGTACGTATATTTTAGCAATAGCTATATCAGACAATACAGTGGACTCCAAGATGGGAATCGAACCCGGTCTTAGGCGTTATCAGCTAATGTTTAAACCACCAGGTCCAACTGCCCCTTGTTACACCGCAAACCGCGACATTCGTTTTTCTGCTTTTCTTTTTTTCTATCCTTAGTCTGTCATGGTGCCTACATGGAGAGCACGTCTCCCTTTTTGTGAACCACTTGCTCAACAGACTTAATTCCAGTTATTGCTATCCGACTATTCTGACATTGATTTCAGTACTAATTGCTCCTTTTGTGTATTTGCATTAGTCAAATCCCACAAGCCTGGAGTCATTTCTACAGTTTAACTTTTATCCCTTAATATACTACTCAAAACGAACTTACCTTCGATCGTGAGCGGGGCCAAAGTGTATATATTGTAGAGTTGGTCAACAGGGTTTTACCAACCCAGTAAATACTAGGAGTCATGAACATTTGGGTGAACCACGCGTGAACAAAGGATATTTTAACAACCAAAAAAAACTTCAAGTAAAGATGTTTAAATTCAGTGAAATAATTCTGTTGATAGAATCATGTTATATTGAGAGTCTTTGTTATAGGTGATGTCGGCGGATCCACGTGACACCCTGAGTGTACCCTATTCACTGAGTGTCTCTGTTAGAGGTGATGTCGGCGGATCCACGTGACACCCTGAGTGTACCCTATTCACTGAGTGTCTTTGTTACAGGTGATGTCGGCGACCCCACGTGACACCCTGAGTGTACCCTATTCACTGAGTGTCTTTGTTACAAGTGATGTCGGCGGATCCATGGGACACCCTGAGTGTACCCTATTCACTGAGTGTCTATGTTACAGGTGACGTCGGCGGATCCACGTAACACCCTGAGTGTACTCTATTCACTGAGTGTCTTTGTTATAGGCGATGTCGGCGGATCCATGGGACACCCTGAGTGTACCCTATTCACTGAGTGTCTTTGTTACAGGTGATGTCGGCGACCCCACGTGACACCCTGAGTGTACCCTATTCACTGAGTGTCTTTGTTACAGGTGATGTCGGCGGATCCATGGGACACCCTGAGTGTACCCTATTCACTGAGAGTCTTTGTTACAGGTGATGTCGGCGACCCCACGTGACACCCTGAGTGTACCCTATTCACTGAGAGTCTTTGTTACAGGTGATGTCGGCGACCCCACGTGACACCCTGAGTGTACCCTATTCACTGAGTGTCTTTGTTACAGGCGATGTCGGCGGATCCATGGGACACCCTGAGTGTACCCTATTCACTGAGTGTCTTTGTTACAGGTGATGTCGGCGGATCCATGGGACACCCTGAGTGTACCCTATTCACTGAGTGTCTTTGTTACAGGTGATGTCGGCGACCCCACGTGACACCCTGAGTGTACCCTATTCACTGAGAGTCTTTGTTACAGGTGATGTCGGCGGATCCATGGGACACCCTGAGTGTACCCTATTCACTGAGAGTCTTTGTTACAGGTGATGTCGGCGACCCCACGTGACACCCTGAGTGTACCCTATTCACTGAGAGTCTTTGTTACAGGTGATGTCGGCGACCCCACGTGACACCCTGAGTGTACCCTATTCACTGAGAGTCTTTGTTACAGGTGATGTCGGCGACCCCACGTGACACCCTGAGTGTACCCTATTCACTGAGTGTCTTTGTTACAGGCGATGTCGGCGGATCCATGAACATCCTGAGTGTACCCTATTCACTGAGTGTCTTTGTTATAGGTGATGTCGGCGGATCCATGGACATCCTGAGTGTACCCTATTTACTGAGTGTCTTTGTTATAGGTAATGTCGGCGGATCCACGTGACACCCTGAGTGTACCCTATTCACTAAGTGTCTTTGTTACAGGTGATGTCGGCGGATCCATGGACATCCTGAGTGTACCCTATTCACTAAGTGTCTTTGTTATAGGTGATGTCGGCGGATCCACGTGACACCCTGAGTGTACCCTATTCACTGAGTGTCTTTGTTACAGGTGATGTCGGCGGATCCATGGGACTGTTTATCGGCGCCAGTGTGATGACAATCTTCGAGATTCTGGATCTTCTTGTGTATCATTCGGTGACTGGCACAGAGATGAAGCAGTAACGCGCGACCCCCTCCGCCCTTCCCCCGCATCCAAGTACGATACTGACTTATCTGATTGAGATTTTGAAACCCCTGATTCAGAGTGCCCGTGTGAGATGGAGAATAGGCAATCATTCCCAAACCGTGTTGGTTGTTTAATGTTACCAATATCCAATATATATTACGGCGTCATGCAAGTACTCGAGTCTGGACAAGTGATTGCTGTTTTAAGCAACGTCCCGCGTCGTTGGATTACCTTAAGAAACAACCTACCAACTCACCGAGCCTAATCACCCAATCCACCTCTTACGACAATTAAAATAGTTGGCTTGTCTCGACAGAGTTGGCCAGTCTGGTGCAGCATTTCAAGAAATGTCTACATTGAGTGATGTCCCTAATACATTCGTGAAACAACTCCTTCCGACAAAAAAAACAAAGTGAACTTAACTGATTGTTTGCGATATAAATAAAAGCGACAAAATAGACAGGTTTGCGAAAATGTTTTAGCTAGAAGCACTCGTAAAATTTCCCAGGCAGTGACGTGAGGTTGAGGCTTGTTGTTAAACTCGAGATAAGCAATGATTTGAGAGTGAGTGAGTAAGTGTATGGTTTTACGCCGCTTTTAGCATTATTCCAGCAATATCACGGCGGCAATGATTCGAGATGATGTGTTGGTAGGTGTTTTCTTGGCGCAAATGGTCTCAAGATCTCAAACGTTTTACGGTAGATATTTGGACAAACGTGATGTGCCTATTTGACTTATGCCAAATGTTCCCAAATGATCTTTCCCGGGGATCAAATGACTTGCCTCTGCACGTGTTTGTTACTGGTGCCACCGGTGGGACAGGATGCGCTCGTTGTCATCACTCTTTGATGCTGATTCATAAACACATACAGACCGCATCCATGGTCTAGAGGTAGAGTGTCCGCCCGGAGAGAGGACGGTCCGGGGTTCGATCCCCGGCCGCGTCATACCAAAAGACGTTAAAAGATGGTACTTATTGTTACCCTGTCTGGCGCTCGGCATTAAGGGGCTAAAAGAAGGACTGGTCGGCTCGGAGTCAGTATACTGTGTCTGAGTGGGGTATTCATGTTAAACTGCGGCATGGTATCTCAGTGAGCTAGCACTATAAATCGGCATCAGTCCGGACTAGTACAAGCAGCCACACAAACACTCACACGTACATGCACGTCGCTAGATAAGTGCAATAATCTTGGACGCGACGTTAAACCCCATTTCACCTCACCTCACCTCATAAACACATACTCATACAACAGTCGCAATCGAACAATGGACTCGTCTTTCAGCAGAGATTTCTTATGGTTAAGTAAAGAATCGCTTTTATTCAGGTAGGGAGTTGGCATCGGGCATATCATCCCCTGTATTCGACATTGTACACCAGGATCACGATGTCTAGCTTCAACTTGGGATAAAGTGTTTGTGTGTATCGCAACCAAGAAACTGAAGGAGAAGATGTACGAGTGTTATTGTGTTATCCAGCTTAGCACTGACAAGAACGTTGTGCGGTTTGCCCATGTGCAACGGAGCCTATTCAAAACATATATTTTCATTTTATTTTTAGAAACTCCGCAAATTTTCAAATGCATAATCACATGAAAAAAACTTTTATTTTATTTAACTGCACTCTCTCAACGCCATTTAGTAAAGTCGAGAGGACGTAAAATGTTGTCTGATCTTAGTATCGAATTATAAACGAGGATATTAACTCTACATGGATAAGAAAATATTTTGTTGTATCAAATTATACTCCTTATACGACTTCGTTACATGCGGAGTAAAATGTCCTGTGAAATTCATCTTTACGGGTATGTATACATTACGTTCTCTATCACCTGTGCATAAATTGGGCCGATATGCGATGCATAGTCGTCGCTATTAACCCAGAAGTCGGGCAACGGCCTGCTTCTAGCGAGAGACCAGCCGGACAATACTCTGACCAATGGGCGCTCAGGTTACGTGGCACCAACGGGAATGTTTCTTGCATGACATTTAGTGTAACATACCATCAGGGTCGGGCAATGGACGTGTTCGGACATAGTTTATGTACGGAATAGGGCACATGTGGCTTCTGTGAGGCCTTGATAGCTGAATGAGTGAGTGAGTTGTGTTTAACGCCGCTTTTAATAGTATTCCAGTTATATCACGGCGTGTCAGCTAAATGTAGGAGGAAAGCCCGAATTGATGCAGGTCTTAGACGTTTACCACTTCGGTGAAACCCACGAGCACGGGTATGGTGCTGATAAACCTAGAAACATAATCGGGGCGAACTGGGATTCAAACCCACAATCATAGGTTCCTGGCGTGCCCAAGGTACGCAACTCTGCACAGCGAATTGCACAGATACCAGACTACAAACAGTCATATGGAGGAACGTAGTGAATACAAATCCCTGAAGTAAAATACGGACAAAAGAAAGTATAAACACCTATGTTTGATTGCTAAAAATGAAACAAACAATAATTGTTTATTCAATGGTGATATATTTAATATCACAGTTGTGTTGTCGACCTTAAGTTTGCAGTGTTTCGGCGACTGTTTTCTGCCCAGAAACGTTTTGATTGCAGTGTTTCGGCGACTGTTTTCTGCCCAGAAACGTTCTAATTTTTTGTTCAAATTCAGTTTGCAAGTGTATACTTTCTTTTGCCCGGCAGTGTATTCAGAATGGATTAACATGTAGAGAACCATTAGCTGAAGAAGAAACAGCAGGAGGGTTGAGAGAGTGATGCTGTATTGAATTACGCTGGTGATTTATTTTTCCTGATTGAATGCACGCAAAATGATGCGGACTGTTAAACCCGATTCCATGATGCTGTTAATATGTCAGTGTATATATTCACATACATTTGTTTGTATATAAGTTGATGCATGAATAAATAAATATATTTATCATCCAAAACTGGCTCTCGCAGGGGATATTGCTTGGGTAAGATCAAGCGATATTTACATTGTAGATATCGCTGCAATGAAATTTCATCACAATGCTTTGAAGACCATTGTGACGTCATTGGTTACATGACGTCACAATCAAATGACATTACTAAAGGCTCTGCTACTGAAGCTGTTAGCAGTACTGGGGTGCGTTGCAAAGCGCCAATCGCTTGCAAGCGATGTACAGCGATTCGCCTTACAACAGTGCGCTAACTTTCAGCCGCTTGCAAGCGAAACAATCGCTGGCTGAGGCCGCTTCGTTCTCAAACCAAAATGGCGGCTTACTTTGACAGCGGAACAAGAAATTCTAGACTGGATCAACGAGGAAATGAACAAAGGCAACTAACACCCCATCATCCTCAATCTGCTCTACATCTTCAAAGTAATCATAAATTTCATCAGCTCGTCATCGAGCCTCTTCTATTACGTTCTTCATTACGTCAAGGCAACCAAGCGAGTGCGCCGCCATTTTGGAAGAGTGCGCAAGCGCTTCGAACTGTTTCAGACACCGGGATGAGCGATTAATTTGCTTTCTCTTAGCGGTTCGTGGGTTGCAACGCGCCCCTATTTACATTTAAGACAGTGCTTATTACTGTCTACAACCTGAAAAGGTTGGAAAAATGAACTCGTTGATATATTTGATATCAAAAGACACGAGGGTGAGGTTCTCTATTTTGTTTGCAAGCTATTTGTATTACACCCAGAAAACGTTCGAAATTAAAATTGGTGTTTCAAACATGACCTGGACCCAATTGCACAAAGCGATCTTAGCGCTAAGATGACCGATCTCCCATACTTTAACATAGGCTTACAATAGTCTTAGCGCTAAGATCGTTTTGTGCAAGTAGGCCCAGGAGTCTCAAGTGGCCTAATGGCCAAAGGCGCCGGACTTAGGATGGTTAGGTTCGAATCCCGGATTTACCCTGATTATGACCCCTGCAACCTGTTGTGAAGGTCTCTATGGGGCTCTGGAACACACACAAGTTGTGATTTATATTTAAGACACGAGTAAACGTGTAAGGTTTCGAAACAAAATTATGTTTGTTTGTTGTTGAACGCCGCACTCAGCCATATTCCAGCTATATGACGGCGGACCAGACAATCCAGTGATTGACATAATGAGCATCGAGTCACGCAATTGGGATACGGTGACATGCATCCCGTTCGTCGCCTCTAACGACAAGCATTGTCGCCTTTTACGACAATATGGGTTGTTGAAGACCTATTCTAACCCGGATCTTCACGGGTCCGAAACAAATGAAGGGAAACGAACTCGTAGTCGAGAGCGATCGGCCCATCCGTTTGGCTAACCCTAACTCTCCACAAGAGAACAAACAAGTCAACGGATGGAATGCAAGTAGTTTATTTCTCGGTAGATGATGATAATGATCATTGAGACAGCTGTAAATAAACTAAGCGGCAAAAGAAAGTATAGGTTGGCAATTTGTAATTTTCCTAAAAACAGCGATAACTAGTGGAAAGTGGGTATTGGGAATATGACTGCCCAGGAACAGGTACCAAAAAACACCTCACCCGAACGCGCCACCTTTGACGGCGCTCGTGTGGTGACAAAAATGGTGAAACAGGTGTCCCGCCTATGGCATAAACTGCACGTGCGGGTTCGCTGTATAAATGCGTTCGTCTGCAGGGTATAACCACACGTGATGAAAGCACACAAAAGAAATGCCACGACTGTCACAGGAGCAGAGAGAGAGAGCCATCGGTATGGCCGAAATGGGGGCAACACAGGTCCAAATTGCCAGAAGGTTTGGTTGTACACCATTGACAGTAGCCAGGCTGATTCAACGGTACAGGCAGACAGGGAAGACACAGGACTGGCCTAGAACCGGACGACCCCGAGTGACAACACCACTGGGAGACGGTCAGATACGGCTCATTCACCTGCGAAACAGATTCGTAACGGCGACGGCGACGGCGACGGCAGCACCAGCGTCGGGGCATCTCATTCCGAGAAATGGTACTGACTGCTCAACATCGACGCCTGAGACTGCGATGGGCGAGGCAGGTTCGACGCTGGCAATGAGAAATTGGCGTCGAGTGCTGTTTTCTGATGAAAGTCGGTTTAACTTGTTTCGAAATGACGGCAGGGAACGAGTTTATCGACGCAGAGGGGAACGTTTGGCTCCGGCGTGTAATTGAGAGGTCCATCCATTCGGCGGGGGAGTGGTCATGGTGTGGGGCGGTATTTGTGGAGATCAGAAGACTGATTTGGTGATTATACAGGGAAACCTGAACGCTGTGCAGTACAGAGACCAAGTGTTGCAGCCAGTTGTGCTTCCGTTCTTACAAAACCAACAGCAGGAGACATTGTTTCAACACGACAATGCCAGGCCCCATACTGCAAGACTGACTCGGAACTTTCTAAACCAGCAGAACGTTGACGTTTTGCCCTGGCCTGGCCACACACCCGATATGAATCCCATTGAACATCTGTGGGACCATCTTCCCTGACAGGTTAGAGCACGCCATCAGCCTCCCGTCAACAGACAATAATTGCAGCAGGCCCTGAGAGACGAGTGGCAACGGATTCCAGTCCACGTCATCGGAAGACTGACTTCATCGATGAGGCGTCGTATCACAGCATGCATTGAGGCAGCTGGACATCAAACACGCTACTGAAGGCAACTGTGACGACAATGAACTTGTAGTGTGTCTGACAATTTTTGGTGACGTTTCAGACAACTTTTGAAAATGAAATTTCTTATCCCACCATTGTTTACCTTGAGCTTACATCACTTGTGATTGCACAATTTCATTCAAACTGTGGTTGATCAATCATTTGTTACCCCTCCCTAGATTATATTAAAATTCACAACAAAACCTCTTGTTATTTTTTTATCGATCATGGAACTCAACCTATACTTTCATTTGCCGCCCAGTTTATATACACTGGCTAAAGACTGTGGGGTAGTCAATCATTCATGTGTCTCCGTCACAAACAAGAAAGAAGCTCACAAACACATAGGAACCTAACATTTGTTCCATAAATACTGGAAAAATATATTTTGCATCATGTTATAAAAACAATTATTGCTGGATATTCTGAAAAAAACTGCTGTGAAAAGATATAAAATTGTTTGGCTCCTGCTGTAAGAGAAGATAAAATAAGTACAGTAAACTACGGTTATAACGAACTACGGTTATAACGAACTCATGGGGACTACTATTTTTAGTTCGTTATAACCGTAGTTCGTTAAAAGCATATATACAGCATAACTACAGCAAATAGTCGGGACTAAAAAGTAAGTTCGTTATATCCGTCAGTTCGTTATAAGCGTGTTCGTTATAACCGGAGTTTACTGTATTTTGTTTCCAAAAGTCGGATTGACACAAATGGACGGATTTGTTAAAAGTTATATATCTCAAGAGAGCGATTGTTACTAACCATAAAGTACTCCTCTTACAGAATTGTCAGATAAATATACTATGGAATATGACATCAGTGAGGCTGAAGGAAAAATAGATTGTTTCAACATGAGTGAGAGAAATGGATGGATCACAGTAAACAACGGAATATTTACATACTATGAATACACAATTCCTTTAAAGAATTGGTCAAATGTAACAAATGTTATATTTGCGATAACACTTTCTTAGTGAAGAACAAATTCTAGTACTTTTTGGTACCCATTCCATCCGGGATTCGAACCCACACTCTCAGAGTAAGGCACCTAATCGCCAGCACACAAAGTCAGCGATCATAACCCACTCGGCCACCGATGATCCCTCTTAATGAAACTGCGACAACTGTAAGGACAACAGATAGTGTCCACCTCTGATAGCCCCGTGAAGATCCGGGGTATAATAGGTCTTCAGCAACCCATGCTTGCCGTAAAAGGTGACTATGCTTGCCGTAAGAGGCGACTAACGGGATTGGCTGGTCAGGCTCGCTTTCTTGATTGATGCATGTCATCGATCCCAATTGTGTGGATCCATGCTCATGATATTAATCACTGGATTGTGAGGTCCAGACTCGATTATTAACAGACAGCCGTCATATAGCTGGAATATTGCTGAGTGGGGCGTTAAACAACAAACCAACCAACCAACCAACCACCTCTGATAGGTGGGAAAATTGGCACGACTCCGATGGCCCATCAATACGAGTGAGTGAGTGAGTGAGTTTGGTTTTACGCCGCTTTTAGCAATATTCCAGCAATATCACGGCGGGGGACACTAGAAATGGGCTTCACACATTGTACCCATGTCGGGAATCGAACCCGGGTCTTCGGCGTGACGAGCGAACGCTTTAACCACTAGGCTACCCGACCACCCCCCATCAATACGAATACGGGTTAGATAGCTGAATTTGTGTGCTGGCGATAAGATGCCTCACTCCGAGAGTGTGGGTTCGAATCCCGGATTGAACATACAACACTGTGGTCAGTTTAATATAGTTGGTATCCTGAGAGTGCTTGTTGCTCTAATCATCATACTCCAGCTATATCACGGCGGCCTGTGAACACGCAGAAACCGGTGGTTGATATAAGGGTAACGCTATTTTTCAGGCCATTATCATTTGCAGAAGCCCGAGGTCTTTGAAAAGACCGAGGGCTTCTGCAAATGATAATGCCCTGGAAAATAGCGTTACCGTTATTATAGCTAAAATGGATGGAATTTGTTATCAAATAAAAAGAAACAACAATGTCGATTTTGAAACATTTACTGCAATCAACACGAATGTCACTGACCCACTTTTACAAATATGGAAACGTCATAGAACAAACCAGATGACGTCACTATTGAACGTTACGTCACCTATCCCTATCCTATGACGTCACCTAACAACGGGCGTGATAATGGCCCGTCGTCAAGTAATATGAGGGCATTATCAAGTTACAGTGGCCCGCTCATTTCTGATAACATGCGGGCGTTTTTATGATAATTCTATCCATTTTAGCTATAATAGTACGATAGCTAAAAGTGATAGAATTATCTCTTAACCGCCCGCATGTTATCAGAAATTATAGCTAAATTGGATAGAATTATCATTAAACCGCCCGCATGTTATCAAAAATGAGCAGGCCACTGTAACTTGATAATGCCCTCATATTTCTTGACGACGTGCCATTATCACGCCCGTTCTAAGGTGACGTCATAGGATAGGGATAGGTGAAGTCACGTTCAATAGTGACGTCATCAGGTTTGTTCTATGACGTTTCCATATTTGTAAAAGTGGGTCAGTGACATTCGTGTTGATTGCAGTAAATGTTTCAAAACCGGTATTTTTGTTTCTTTTTATTTGATAACAAATTCCATCCATTTCAGTTATAATAACGGTAACGCTATTTTTCAGGGCATTATCATTTGCAGAAGTCCTCAGTCTTTTCAACTGCCCTCCTTCGTCGGGCTTCTGCAAATGATAATGCCCTTAAAAATAGCGATACATTGTAAATACTACATTGAAATACACATGACACATGGTGATCAGACAACTTAAAGCTCTGTACTTTCTTCGGCCATCAGTCTTATCGTGAAGGGTTTATTGCTTGAAACATGACGAGGTCTAGGATTTCGACGATGGTGAGTACGCTGGCTCCAATGAAGAGGCCCATCGATCCCCCGATGTCACCTGGCATGAGATAACATTGAAGCAGGGGTTAGCCAAATAATAATAATAATAATAAACCAATAAACATGATAAGCATAGAACGTCAGTCTCGATTCATTCAAACTTTGTTTGTTTGTTTGTTGTTTAACGCCCAACTCAGCAATATTCCAGCTATATGACGGCGGTTTGTAAATATTCGGGTCTGGACTAGACAATCCAGTGTTTGACATCATGAGCATCGATCCACGCAATCGGGATAAGATGACATGCATCAACCAAGTCAGCGAGCCTGACCACCCGATCCCGTTCGCCGCCTCTTACGACAAGCATAGTGGCCATTTACGGCAAGCATGGGTTGCTGAAGACCTATTTACCCCGGATATTCACGGCTGTCCATTCAAACTGATGCCATACAGCATAAAAGGCAAATTAATGATATGAATGGATCACTGAAAATCAGTGATAAAATAGCTGAAGGAATTTCTATATATTTATAATCCGAGTTATTTCAATATTGAATAAAATACTGTTAGACTTGTCCTTTTCTTGGTTAACACCGCAGTATGTTATGGCGGCCGCTTGTACAGTAATCGAAACTTGATCGGATAAGCCAGTGATTAATATTGTAAACAGCGATCCACACCGTCAATCAACTAAGTGACGCAGTTACCAACCGATCCACAAAGACGCCACGTATGACGAGCATGTGTTGGTGGAGATCTAACCAGGAATGACCACAAGGAACAGTACTCACAGAGCAGCGCAAACACGTCATAGGCGATTTGCTGGGTGTGCTTCTCAAAGTTGAGTTGACGGTAATAGACGTTCAACTTCAAGAAGTTTTCCCTAAAAATAAACAGCTGTATAGCAAGGTTATACTGAAAAGAACTCTACCATCGGTTTCCGCCTTGTTATATATAGATATAATTGTCTTTTTTGGGCGACTTAGTCCAGTATGGGGCGGTCGGGTAGTCTAGTGGTTAAAGCGTTCGCTCGTCACGCCGAAGACCCGGGTTCGATTCCCGACATGGGTACAATGTGTGAAGCCCATTTCTGGTGTCCCCCGCCGTGATATTGCTAGAAAATTGCTAAAAGCGGCGTAAAACCAAACTCACTCACTCACTCGCTCACTCACTTAGTCCAGTATGAGCAAGAATAATACTAAGTCACTGGTTGACAATAACTTGACCCTTTTAATGATAACAGTTATGTGAATGTTGTTTAACGTGCAGGAAAAAGGACAGCAAAAATTGAAACTAGTTTAGTTTGTTTGCTTGTTTGTTTGTTTGTTACGTTACGCCATACTCAGCAATATTCCAGCCATATCACGGACAATCCAGTGATTGACAACATGAGCATCGATCCACACAATATTGGGATACGATGACATGCATTAACCAAGTCAGCGAGCCTGACGTCACGATCCCGTTAATTTGGGAACAAATGAGAGCATGAATGGTGCGGACAGAAAAGGAATCAGAACTTTGGGATTCGAACCAGCTCAGTGCCAGATGTTTCCCGAGGGAGAGGGTAGAAATACAATGACACATGATTTGTAAACACCTTTGGATACATACATTGATGTTAAAGTATCGTTATTATTCACACTTCATTACTAGCTGCGGTAAGGAAGTGGTATCTTTAATACTTAAACCGTTTTGCGAAGCCTACCGGACAATGATCTGCTGTGACGTCATTAGACATTACGTCGACAATGCTGTTAATCTTACGTCAACAATGTTGTAGAGCGCTTTAAGTATTAATATATATGCATTATAAGGAATCATCCTCATTACATGCTCATGTGAATTTTTATTTACTCACTTACCTTGTGAAAATACATTTGCGTAGCACAGACACCATTGTTAACGTTTGTTTAATGTCGTCACAACAATAATGACGTCACATGATATTGACTTTTACGCCAGGGCATGGTTTTCAATGTTGAAGGTACTGCTTCTTTACTACAGTGTATTATAAAGCATGGATGACATATCTTGCAATTCGTTTGTGCATTTCAATAAAATGAAAATCGTGTTATTTCGTTTTATCTTACCCTTCTTCGGGAAATACAAACAATATGACATCCGATTAGTAAATCAGTAGGTTACACACACATACTCGTTTATTATATACTTCAGTGTGAAAGACTGAGTTTTCTGAAGTTGAGAAAAGTGATATTTTCACTGCAGTGAACATAACACCTAATATTTCACTGCAGTGAACATAACACGTTGACGGAACTATGTTGGCCTACACGAGACAGCTCGTACACAAACTGTTGATTTACATCAGTTCAACGTTGACAAGCCATATAATGACAGATGGTCATTTATGTAGTTAATACCGATTCTTACCGTTTGTTATTTAGCTGAAAATGATTTGTATTAAACTGTGAATTTCTCTTCTGATTTGTCAGTCGATACTTTACGTTTCGCAAAGCGCCATTTTGTTACTTGAATTGCGTGTATTCTTTCGCTTCGAACAACCGTCTCATTGATTTGAAATTTACTTTTTTAATGAAGTTGATTTTGTATATAATCATATCCAAATATATACTAAAGAATTTTAGTGACATCAAATATTTTTGGTTACTTTTGTTTATATTTATTAAGATTTAGCAAAGACGGAACTACATTTTTAGTCGTACTTACAGGGGGTGGAAAACCGTCCATGTGTGTTATGTAGGGAGCATTTACGCTTGAAGGTTTTACATTTGTAATGAAATAATTTAATCTTCCTGCAGACAACTACACCAAAAGTTTATAATAAATGGGATATTTCATGTGTTGAGTGAAATATCATGTTTCTCTCATCTCGTGACGGAGGGAAAGGAGATATTTTCACGAGTGGCGTCACTCGGTGAGAGAAACATGATATTTCACTCGACACATGAAATATCCTCTATATATTTCATTTTTTCTGCAAGTAACCGGTAGATAAGACAGTACCTTAAGTCTTGATCTCTTGGTGGCAAAAAAGAAGATAAGCAAAACATCACACATAGTTAGTTTTTCTTTTCTCTTTTATCATTCTTCTCATTTGGCCGAAATGTTTTTGAAGCAAACAAATATCTATTCAATTAAAATCAAGATATGTTGACATTCATGGCACTAATATTACTCAAAACAACATCGGCCGCTCATAATGTCAATAAAATGTCAGTTTAATTAAATATGTATTTGAACCGGTTAGACTTGGTAGTGGTTGTGCATATTATTCTAACCAGGCTGGTTCAGCTATCAGGACCAGCGTTACGTCATCTGTGTCACAATTGTAAGAGTTCACGCAGAGAGAGAGAGAGAGAGAGAGAGAGAGAGAGACACAGAAAGAGAGAGAGAGAGAGAGAGAGAGAGGGGGAGGGAGAGAGAGAGAGAGAGAGAGAGAGAGAGAGAGAGAGAGAGAGAGAGAGGCGCTAGAGAGTCCAATTTCCAACTTTTCTCCGCCCCCTCTGGATATCAAATGGTCGTCCCCTTGATCGAATTTATTGATAATTTGAACCACTTACTTCACAAACGTTGAATCCACGTGACTACTGGCGTGGAACTCCTGCATGTGATCAGTGAGACTCTCGAGACTCAACAGGAACGCCTCATCCTTGTTATCGAACCTACACTGAACGTCAATCATGTCCCGGTGATCGAGAAAGCTGTCCCGAATCTCCTGAATCACCTCCGAGCTGTTCCTCAAATATCTGCTGATGTTCTTGTTCCTCCAGTAAGGCATCAGGTCCACCTGCTTAAACGTGAAGTTCCACATCTCTTGATAAACCACAGAGAGCTTCTCCCAGCTGTCGTAAATATTCTGCCCTCGGGTTCTGACAGTCGCGAAGAACACATTTAAACTGTTGACACTGTTCTTAACAGCTTTTGATCTGAAGAAGAGTGACACAGCCTCCAGGCTGATGTTTCCGTAGTTCAAGTAGTCATCACACATACGGGTTCCATTCTGTATGTCCTCCAAGTACAATAGAATGTTTTGGATTGCATCCTCCACGATGCCCAGATACTGTAAAGTAAAGTCGCGGGCCTTTGCAAAGTCCGTTTTAATGTATGTGCAATCCTGTTCTCGTTTATTCAACTGTGTAACAATCCAATCAATGAAATCCCTAAAGAAGTGGCTTTTACTTTGCAAATACTGTCTGCAGTTGTCTAGAAAGTGTATGTTGGCAAAATATATTAATGTGCCATTTACAGTTCCATTCATAAATGCTGACTCAGCAATGTGTCCGTATTCTTCCATCCAGTCAATCATTTTCTTGATATCAGTCGCAACTCGAGAGGACCGTGTTCTGATAGTCCAGGACCTACGAAGCGACTGCTTAATCATCACTTTAGGGATGAGAAGGTAGCTATCGCTCTTACTGAATCTTCTGAACCGGTAGTTAAAGATTGGTGTTGCATTTAGATAACTTGACAAAAGCTGGGTGTGATTTTGTAGTGCTCTTTTTGCCATATCTATCCTTGCATCAAGCTGATTCTTGACGAGGATGTAGATCATCTTTCTCACAGAGCTGTCCGTGATCTCTGGATCTGCCAGTTGATCAATTTTCCTTTCTACGCTGAATGTGAACTCCTGAGCCCCGTGTGCGATCACGGAGAACGTCCTCTCGTTCATGGCATCTCTAGCACGTGCAAGGTCCTTCAGATGAATGTAGTTCTGGTACTGAAAATACATATACGTCTCCTTCCAGTTCCACAAGAAGTCTTCGGAGATATTCAGGAGTTGTCTCCTCTGCTCTTTGACCTTGACCTTTAGTTGATCCACAATCACGTGTCTTAGCATCTTGAATTTCTGGTCCGAAGTTTGTGCTAGTTTTCGAAGCTCTTCAGCCTTGTTGCTTTGTAGACGATGAGTGATGTCTCTGGCATTCTGGTATTTCATTTTAAGGGCGGATCTGTTTGTGTTGCTAAGGAAACGGTCGATGACGAAGGTGGAGGTCGTGGCGTATGATACAGTGGAATCAAAGAGAGCGTAGTTGCATGGAACAGGGCAGTGACAGTTCTGTTGCACAGACTCGCGAATCTCCACTGTGAAAAAATCAATTTAAGATGTCAGTCTTCAATCCAATAAGACCTGTGTCTCTCCTTCGCATAATTTGAGTGAGTGAGTATGGTTTTACGCCGCTTTTAGCAATATTCCAGCAATATCACGGCGGGGGACACCAGAAATGGGCTTCACACAGTGTACCCATGTCGGAAATCGAACCCGGGTCTTCGGCGTGACGAGCGAACGCTTTAACCACTAGGCTACCCGACCGCCGCTTCGCATAATTTGAGGTGTCCTACCAACCAGGACCCCGTTCCACAAAGCGATCTTAGCGCTATGACTGTCTTAAGTCAGTGTTACAGAAAGGGAGTTACGATCTACTTAGCGCTAAGCTCGCTTTGTGGAACAGGGCCCTGAGCTTCTTGTATATACAAGCACTGATTAAACTATTACATATGTTCTAGAAACGCGAAATGGGTTATTTATGGCCATTTGACTTTAATATTAACGCACTGAAATTTCAGCGAAAATCTACCGAATTGTATAAAAGAGACACACTACTGCTAACTCAGAAAATCGGTTTCCAAATGAACAAAATTAAATGTCACCCGCAAAAGGCTTGTAACAACTGTAGTAATCCCCCAGAGTACAGAGCGGGATGTCCTCTGAAAGTAAACGGTAATAGTTTACATTCTAACCTGCAATACATGTACACAAGAGTGAGTGATAACGGGATTACGCCTCTTTTAGAAAATATTCACCAATATATGCAGGGGACACCAGAAATGGGTTTCACACATGGTACCCATGTGCGGAATCGAACCCTGGCTTGAGCCGTGACGAGCGAACGCCTTAACCACTGTGCTACACCTCAGGTCAAGATTCCCTCTTTGTTATTTTCATATACACGTGTCTGAATATGAATTAATTCACCCAAAATTATATAATTACTGCAAAACTTTAATTTGAAGGTATCCCTGAGATGGCCTAAAAGTTTGACCAATAATGTGGTGTATATATTCCTCAAGGCTTCAAATGAGATAAGCTGCACACCCCTACATTGCATATGGTACGGTCCTCATACCTTCCGTTTCCGGCATATAGAACAGTCTACAGCCACACTTCTCCGCTAGTTGTACCATGGCACATTCCACCTGGCACGTCTCGATAGAGTAGTGAGGGAAGTACTTCAAGGTAGGGTGCTGACATTCCCCGTGAGGCTTGGGAAGATTATGAATCTACAACAGAAAATATAAAATTGCAAGGTGCAATAATTTTCTAATGTAACGTTTACTGATACACGGCTTTTCCATTGGACGAGAGGTCGGTCACATGACCACGAAATTGAGTGAGTGAGTGAGTTTGGTTTAACGCCGCTTTTAACAGTATTACAGTCAGTTATATCGCGGCGTGTCAGCTTAATGTGGGAGGAAAGCCCGAAGAGATGCAGGTCTCGGACGTTTTCCACTTCGGTAAAACCCACGAGCACGGGTATGGTGCTGACAAACCTAGAAACATAATCGGGGTGAACCGGGATTCGAACCCGCAATCATAGGTTTCCTGGCGTGCCCAAGGGACGCAACTCTGCACAGCGAATGGCGGCGCCTTAGACGACTGGGCCACCCGTGCCCCCTCGCTGCGATATCCTCGCTGCGACCAATCCTAGTGAACAAAACGAAGAAATGCACTTCCAAACTATCGTTGTATATATCGACTCGATCCGTGTCTAGGCTCCCAGTGACAGTCTACAGCAATCTATGTTTTAATTTAGTATCTATTTGATAATCCCCTTTCAATGATCGGCCAATTGATCACTGATGACTAACACTTGTAATCGCCACAGGTTCATTAACAACTTCGGAAGTCTCTCCCGTCACGTTTATCGTGTCGGCCATTTTGACGTCTTGTAATTGATGTAAATGTATTACGAAGTGCTGTCATTGTGACTGACTTACTGAGTTCTTAACAGACCTTTCTCATCTAATGATATTATTTGTATATGTTTGCGGTAAACTACAAAAGATGTCACTGTGAGCATGCATACGCTCATGTCACCTCTCCTTTGAGAAACTACTTCTTTCCGCTATACAGCTAGTTGTTGTATGGCTGTCAGTGTAAACAAGACACACCTACTAAATAGAATTGTGTATAGATCTACATCCTTCGAGGTATAAAATAATGGTAAATGTTTTCATAATAATTGATTTTTACTTTGTGTGAGTTCATTGGAGTATGAACCTTCAGTAAGTGAGGGCCAAACATTGTATGAACGTCGTCGCAAGGTCCGACGTTCATACAGTTTGGCCCTCACGGTAAGAAGGTTCATACTCCAATGAACTCACACAAAGTGGACCCGTGAAGATCCGGGGTAGAAAAGCTCTTCAGCAACCCATGCTTGCCGTAAAAGGCCACTATGCTTCTCGTAAGAGGCGACTAACGGGATCGGGTGGTCAGGCTCGTTGACTTAGTAGATGCATGTCATCGATCCCAATTGCAAGGATCGATGCTCATGATATCAATCACTGGATTGTCTGGTCCAGACTGGATTATTTACAGACCGCCGTCATATAGCTGGAATATTGCTGAGTGCGGCGTAAAACAACAAACCAACCAACCAACCACACAAAGTGAAAGTCAGTTTTTTTATTAAACCGCAAAGTTATTGTATCAATAATGTCTTACGCACTGTATACAAGGTTAGTTCATTCTTCTTAAAGGCGCTGTTAGTCGTGGTTTGGAATCAAAGATTCCGATCTTTGATTTGTCAGCACGATATACTATATTCCAGTGCTCGTGGAACGCAACAAAGTAATACACATCTAAGACCAGCATCTCTTTGGGTTTCCCTCCGACAATAAGCTGACACGACGTGACATAAGATGTTCCTGGGTTCTGAGAGTGGAGGAGTTACGTTTCTTGTCAGTGCAAGGATCCGATCGGAAATGGTAAATTTGAAATGTCACGTCAGCGTGTAAGTATGGTAACAAAAGAGGAATACTGAAACCAGTCTTTGAAACGTGCACCTTACTTACCGAGATGAGCTGCATGCCGACAAATGAATGCGTCCCCGTGGGTAGGGCTATGCCGAGCTCCTGCACCTTGGGGAACTGTTTGTGGTCGTGGATGAGGATCTTCACCCCTGCGGCGTCGTGGGGCCCCGGCATGTACTCGTATTGCTCCACATTCAGCGTCAGGGACAAGCCGTTCTCTGCCCCTGGGCACATGAATCAGGTCACAATCAATATATGTACATTGTTAATCTTGATGTGTTTGCTTGTTTGGTGTTAAAAGTCACACGAAGCAATACTCCAGCTGCAAGACGGCGGCTATACGATGGCGCACCAGGCAAACAAGTGATTGACATCATGAACATCGATCCACGCAGTTGGGATACGATGACATGCATAAACCAAATCAGCGGGCCTGACCACCCGATCCCGTTAGTCGCCTCTTACGGCAAGCATAGTGGCCATTTACGGCAAGCATGGGTTGCTGAAGACCTATTCTAGTCCATCTTCACGGGTCCGAAACAAACGAAGGGAAACGAATGTAAATAATGGAGTCTTGACCAGTGATTGATATTATGAGCAGCGTTCCACGCCGTCTGGGTACGTTGACGCCATCAACCTACTCACTGAGCCTGACCACCCGATTCCATTAAGTCACCTCTCACGATCAGCATAGGTTTCTAAGGGCAATTCGAATCCGCAATCCTGTCAGTTTCATTTTACATTCCAAATAACATTTCAACTAGACATTGACCAACCTGCGTCCATGACACTGAGACGTTCTGGGTTAGACGTGTTTTGTAGGTTGAAGGAGAAACAGACGCCATGGTCACTCAGTATCTTAGTGAAGTTGAAGGTCCCACAGGGCTCCCCGCGCCATTGGCAGCTGTGTGAAGGTAATGCATTCATTATTTTATAGACACAGCTAGCTATCGCAGCGATACTAATATCGTCATGTTGGAATTTAGAGTGAGTGAGTTGGGTTTAACACCGCTTTTAACAGTATTCCAGTTATATCACGGCGTGTCAGCTAAATGTGGGAGGAAAGCCCGAAGTGATGCAAGTCTTAGACGTTTACCACTTCGGAGAAACCCACGAGCACGGGTATGGTGCTGACAAACCTAGAAACATAATCGGGGCAAACCGGGATTCGAACCCATGATCATAGTTTTCTGGCGTGCCTTAGACGACTGGGCCACCCGTGCCCCCTTTGAATTTAGAGGTATAACATACACAAGAAACTATTAGCAACATATACTTCTCAAAGAAGTTAAAGAAACCCGATTCTTTTATAGTTTTATAGTTAATCTGCAATGCCAATGGAGAATCTGCCGTTCTTTGACTTCTTTTGAGTAGTATATATACAATAGAGTGAGTGAGTGAGTTTGGTTTAACGCCGCTTTTAACAGTATTCCAGTTATATCACGGCGTGTCAGCTTAATGTGGGAGGAAAGCCCGAAGTGATGCAGGTCTCAGACGTTTACCACTTCGGTGGAACCCACGAGCACGGGTATGGTGCTGACAAACCTAGAAACATAATTGGGGCGAACCGGGATTCGAACCCACAATCATAGGTTTCTGGCGTGCCCAAGGGACGCAACTCTGCACAGCGAATCGCGGCGCCTTAGACGACTGGGCCACCCGTGCCCCCCTTTATACAATAGAAGACGAAAAGGGCAAATGTCAACCAATACAAAATTTTTGTGTAGCTGTTGGAGTTTCTGAAAACGTGACTCAAAGAATCGTGCTCAACTTTATACCATGTTTATTCGGTCAGTGCACATGGCGGGTCAGCTTCATGCGGAATGTTTGTGTGAGAGAGTCTGTAGCTTAAAGCCGCCATCAGCAATACTCCAGCTATATGACGACTGTCTGTAAATAATGAAGTCTAGACCAGACAATCCGGTGATTGATATTGTGAGCACGATCCACGCGGGTACTATAACACTCAGCCAGCCAAGTGACCCAGCGTGACCACCGATCCATTAAATCGCCTCTAAGTGAGTGAGTATGGTTTTACGCCGCTCTTAGCAATATTCCAGCAATATCACGGCGCGGGACACCAGAAATGGGCTTCACACATTGTACCCATGTCGGGAATCGAACCCGGGTCTTCGGCGTGACGAGCGAACGCTTTAACCACTAGGCTATCCGACCGCCCCAAATCGCCTCTAAAACCAGCAAAGGTTGGGGACCGATTCTAATCCGGAATCCCCATGGGGTCAGGCGGAATGAAAATCCAAAGTGACGCAGGTCTCAGTGCATTACAATATCATTAAACCGATGATATCTGATAAACCAAGGATCCTAATCGAGTTCGAGTCCCTATTGTAAGGTGTCAGTGTTCCAATACGATTACCTGACGATCATATCCTCCATTGCGTGAGCTGTGCTCGTGTAAAGATGCATTAGCGTCATGTTCGTGGCGTTTCTTTTCTCAAGGTCAAGGGCAGACATACGTTTGCCTCCATTAAACATGGCGGTCAGAAATTCATAGTATCCCATCGCTGCTGCTTTGCTTGCACTGTCCCGAAAGAGGGTAAGACAAATGACTGTAACGTCACTATTCAAGGTCATTATGCATTTAATTTATGCAACAGTTATACATGTCTTTTAATACCGAGCACACGATGTACGTAAGGAACAAAACAATGATGGGGCTATGCACCTACCGGAAAGCATTCTGGTTGCAGATGGTGACGGTGGGAAAGAAGAGGGTTTTGTTGTAGTTAACGTTGACGTTGACAGTTACGGGGTAGTCGTAGTAGTAGATGACGCGGTCGACAATCTGGTAGCTCATGATGGCCACACACGTCACTGTTAAAACCAGCCATAGCAGTCTGGAAAAAGAAGATAACTAGAATTGTTTTTTAATCGTAAAAGCAGATGTCTCCCCCCTTCATTTTTGAAACATTAGTTGTTACAAGTTGTTACTGTAAATGTTGGGGCACGGGTGGCCCAGTTGTCTAAGGCGCCGCGATTCGCTGTGCAGTGTTGCGTCCCTTGGGCACGCCAGAAACCTATGATTGTGGGGTGAGTGCAGGTCCAACAGCCACAGTAATCTATTACAATAAGAATATTAGATTCCTCAACTGTGCGACAACATAATGACCACATACATCACTCTTAGAATCAGCGTTAGCAGTCTGTAGGAACAAGTAGGAGCCAGTTTTGGATGATAAATATGAATATATAGGATTGTAGTTATTACTGCCGCAACCAGTACTGGTTGATAATATCAGGTACACAACAATGCGGACGGGGATACAATATTAAACATGAGGACTTGGGAGGTTTCAAGGTGAAAATCAGAAACGGTTAGTTGAGTTTGTTTCTATATTTGTTGACATAAAACGGCAGTATTGCACAATGATATGTTTGGACAGTTTTAGGCACGCGCCGTTCAGTTTCTCGAACAACAATTCTCAACTCTCAAGGGTGTCACAAAAATATACCATATAGCTGCTGAGGATACTAAAACATCTAAGAAACAGCCACAAGACAACTTTAAGCAGTCAGACCAGAAACAGTGACTGTGGAGGGACCAACAACTTGACGCAGTTGAAGGGTCAGAAATAAATTCCACAATGCACCTTGGCTTAGATTTGAACATTTTGAGAACACTGCGCTCACACTTTAAGAACTTATTTGCTATCAAGCAGGAGAAACAACCAGATGACACGATGAATAATCCAAAAGGTTTATAAGACACCGAGCAGTGTCAAAAAGTCATTTAATATAACAGCCATTATACCATTTTGAGAACCTGTTAAATGGCAATTCTAATCAAGTTACCCTTTGGAACTCCTGACGACTGGGGCAAAAGCAAAAGTTGTCAACTTTTCAGATCTAGCTGATTGCCTCCATATTTTAAATGTTTGCTTCCATCAGTAACACAACAATGATATGATCAGACAATAATAAAGTTATTTCATGAAGCTCAGATTGGGTTCGAACAAGGATGCCCAACCATAGCCAAGGTGTTTTTATATTACACACATTGGTTCAGAAGAAAGGTTGGTTCTGCCTGTTCGTTGATTTTTTAAGGCATTTCAGGGTGTAAGCCATGACGTCTTGATGCAGGTGTGAGAAAGTCATGGCTGGAGCTGTCAGAGAGGTACAACGTCTGAAGTGAAGTGTCCTGCAACAGAAGACTGCGATTCCCCTCTTTGTATACGTCCTATGGCGATGGTCCAATCGGCAGCGCTGAGTCTCGGCATTTTCGAACTTGAAAAATGTTGACAATTGAATGACAAATTATTGGTTTATGCTTGCCTTTTTATAGCCACTACCACTAGTTCCGAATGCCATAACTTGCACGTGCATTTTGCTTTACTGTTTTCCTCCATGACGTATTTTAACAAGTGTGAAAACAATGCCGTTTAAGACATTGCAAATCGACAATGGCTGCGTTTGTCGAATATCAGGCCACCAACATTTTCCAATGAGATATGTCCAATTTGTATACCGGAGGTTTTGTGTAGTCAGGTTCCATGAACAACACACTACCTGTGCTTTTCTTTTTTGAAGAGTGTATGCTAACTGCAATATTAAACATAAGATGACCCGTGAAGATCCGGAGTAGAATAGGTCTTCAGCAACCCATGCTTGCCGTAAATGGCGACTATGCTTGTTTCAAGAGGAGACTAAGGTGATCGGTTGGTCGGGCTCGCTGATTTGGTTGAAGCATGTCATCGTATCCCAATTGCGTGGATCGATGCTGATGTTGTCAATCACTGGATTGTCTAGTCCAGACTCGATTATCTACAGACCGCCATCATATAGCTGGAAGTTTGCTGAGTGCGACGTAAAACACACAAACAAACAAACAAACAAATAAACATAAGATATAGTATTACACATAATAAGGCAGTTGACCTCTCAGTTCACAACACCGACTAGGGTAAACCATCTTTTGTTTCATCACTGGAGACTGGTGACGAATAAGTTATCCATAACATCATGCTTGTTTTATAGAGTCTTCTGAGGAGTGATGGGGCACGGGTGGCCCAGTCGTCTAAGGCGCCTCGATTCGCTGTGCAGAGTTGCGTCCCTTCGGCAAGCCAGAAACCTGTGATTGTGGATTCGAATCCCAGTTCGCCCCGATTATGTTTCTAGGTTTGTCAGCACCATTCCCGTGCTCGTAGGTTTCACCGAAGTGGTAAACGTCTGGTAAACTTCGGGCTTTCCTCCCACATTAAGCTGACACGCCGCGATATAACTGGAATACTGTTAAAAGCGGCGTTAAACCCAACTCACTCACTCACTCACTCACTCTGAGGTGTGTAATCATTTGTCGTGCAGTGTGTTGCAGGGACACGCTGGGTCTGCTCAGGCTGTCATTGTCATTTCATGAATGCATTCGAACATTTTATGTTTGTTTGGTATTCCCATGGTCGCAATCCTGTGTTACCATTACAAAAAACAACAACTTTCTTGTAATTGAATGCACTTAAAAAACAATTCTCGTTTTACTAACACAATTTTGTCAATGGGTTTAATTACATATATTTTCCGTTGGTGTTCTCTATGTTATCTCATGGCGATTGTGAGTGTGCAGTGTCAATGTAATGACAGCGAAACAGCCAACACTGCCACGAGCGAACATAAAGATCAGAGGAAAATATTTGCAACTGAATCAAATCCCTAGACAGTGCTGTTCCCGGGTCGACAATGTCATGAATTATTGACAGTTACCATAACATCCACAAAACAAACCCAGACCAGGTTGTACAAAAGAAATATTCATGACATGCATATTGATCTGTTACAATTGTCATTGTTACAGTAGCCTGCCTTAATGACCAGTGGCACAGAACTACGGCTGTGTGACATGTGTTAGCCGGGCCCCACAATGACCAGCGACACAGAACTTCAGCTATGTTACATGTGTTAGCCGAGCCCCACAATGACCAGCGACACAGAACTACGTCCATGTTACATGTGTTAGCCGGGCCCCACAATGACCAGCGACACAGAACTACGTCCATGTTACATGTGTTAGCCGGGCCCCACAATGACCAGCGACACAGAACTTCAGCTATGTTACATGTGTGACCCGGTCCCACAATGACCAGCGACACAGAACTTCGGCTATGTTACATGTGTTAGCAGGGCCCCACAATGACCAGCGACACAGAACTTCAGCTATGTTAGATGTGTTAGCCGGGCCCCACTATGACCAGTAACACAGAACTTCAGCTATGTTACATGTGTTAGCAGGGCCCCACTATGACCAGCGACACAGAACTACGGCTATGTTAGATGTGTTAGCAGGGCCCCACAATGACCAGCGACACAGAACTTCAGCTATGTTAGATGTGTTAGCCGGGCCCCACTATGACCAGTAACACAGAACTTCAGCTATGTTACATGTGTTAGCCGGGCCCCACTATGACCAGCGACACAGAACTACGGCTATGTTAGATGTGTTAGCAGGGCCCCACAATGACCAGCGACATTGAACTTCAGCTATGTTACATGTGTTAGCCGGCCCCACAACGACCAGTGACACAGAACTACGGCCATGTTACATGTGTTAGCCGGCCCCACAACGACCAGTGACACAGAACTTCGGCCATGTTACATGTGTTAGCCAGGCCCCACAATGACCAGCGACACAGAACTACGGCCATGTTACATGTGTTAGCCGGGCCCCACTATGACCAGCGACACAGAACTACGGCTATGTTACATGTGTTAGCTAGGCTCCACAATGACCAGCGACACATAACTTCGGCCATGTTACATGTGTTAGTCGGGCCCCACAATACAGTTGTGTAATATTTAGGGTCAGGTGATTAAATTGAAGCAAAGTTATATAAATAGATAAATTAAAATCCGTTCTCTTAACGTGAGGATGCAGGCAATTAGTTGAACAGCCCGTCATTTAGCCCTGTCCGGGGAGTCTTAATTTACGGCGGCACTTAACTGAATTGACTCTGAACGTTCCTCTACTGAAACACAAGGTCAGTCTTCAATTCCGTATCTAAAAAAAGTAATAAATATTGCTCTTCGCCCCAAAATAGTTTGGCCCTGAACTAATGAACTGTCCTGAAGCCATACTAAACTGTTAAACTGCGGCATGGTATCTCATTGGGCTAGCACTATAAATCGGCATCAGTCCGTTCTAGTACAAGCAGCCACACACACACACACACACACACACACACACACACACACACACACACGTGCATGCACGTCGCTATATAAGTGCAATAATCTTGGACGCGACGTTAAACCCAATTTCACCTCACCTCACCTCACCTCACCTCACCTCACCTCACCTCACCTCACCTCACCTCACCTCACCTCACCATACTAAACTGGGCGGCAAAAGAAAGTATAGGTCGAGTTCCATGAACGATAAAAAGAATAACAAGAAGAGGTTTTGTTGCGAATTATAATATAATCTAGGGAGGGGTAACAAATGATTGATCAACCACAGTTTAAATGAAATTGTGCAATCACAGGTTATGTAAGCTCAAGGTAAACAATGGTGGGTAAGAATTTTTTTTATAAAGGTTGTCTGAAATGTCACCAAAAAATTGTCAGACACACTACAAGTTATTGTCGACACAGTTGCCTTCAATAGCTTGTATGACCTTCAGCTTCCTCAATGCATGCTGGGATGCGCCGCCTCATCGATGACGTCAGTCTTCTGATGACGTGGACTGGAATCCGTTGCCACTCTCTCAGAGCCTGTTGCAAGTCTTGTCTATTGACGGGAGGCTGATGGCGTGCTCTTATCTGTCTGTTTAAGATGGTCCTACAGATGTTCAATAGGATTCATATCGGGTGAGTGGGCAGGCCAGGGCAAAACGTCAACGTTCTGCTGGTTTAGATAGTTCCGAGTCAGTCTTGCAGTATGGGGCCTGGCATTGTCGTGTTGAAACAATGTCCCCTGCTGTTGGTTTTGTAAGAACGGAAGCACAACTGGCTGCAACACTTGGTCTCTGTACTGCACAGCGTTCAGGTTTCCCTGTATAATCACCAAATCAGTCTTCTGATCTCCACAAATACCGCTCCACACCATGACGCCTCCCCCGCCGAATGGATGGACCTCTCGAATACACGCCGGAGCCAAACGTTCCCTTCTGCGTCGATAAACTCGTTCTCTGTCGTCATTTCGAAACAAGTTAAACCGACTTTCATCAGTAAACAGCACTCGACGCGAATTTCTCACTTGCCAGCGTCGAACCTGCCTCGTCCATCGCAGTCTCAGGCGTCGTTGTTGAGCAGCCAGTACCATTCCTCGGAAAAGACGACACGCTCGCATTCCAGCAGCACGAAGTCGTCGTAGTACTGTGCGTTGGCTAATGGGATGTCCCAACGCTGTTGCTGCCGTCGCCGTCGCCGTTACGAATCTGTTTCGCAGGTGAATGAGCCGTATCTGACCCTCTTCCAGTGGTGTTGTCACTCGGGGTCGTCCGGTTCTAGGCCTGTCCAGTGTCCTCCCTGTCTGCCTGTACCGTTGAATCAGCCTGGCTACTGTCAATGGTGTACAACCAAACCTTCTGGCAATTTGGACCTGTGTTGCCCCCATTTCGGCCATACCGATGGCTCCCTCTCTCTGCTCCTGTGACAGTCGTGGCATTTCTTTTGTGTGCTTTCATCACGCGTGGTTATACCCTGCAGACGAACGCATTTATACAGCTAACCTGCACGTGCAGTTTATGCCATAGGCGGGAAACCTGTTTCACCATTTTTGTCACCACACGAGCGCCGTCAAAGGTGGCGCGTTCGGGTGAGGTGTTTTTTGGTACCTGTTCCTGGGCAGTCATATTCCCAATACCCACTTTCGACTGGTTATCGCTGTTTCTAGAAAAATTAAAAATTGCCAACCTATACTTTCTTTTGCCGCTTAGTTTACCCCACTAAGACACAGTATACTGACTCCGAGCCAAAAAGACCTTGTTTTAACCCCTTAATGCCGAGCGCCAGACAGGGTAACAACAAGTACTATCTTTTAACGTCTTTTGGTATGACGCGGCCGGGGACCTCCGGGCGGCCGCTCTACCACTAGACCACGAAGGCGGTCGTAATGAATGCAATGTGTTGAACGGAGAAGATCATGCATACAAATTAAAAATGTCACGCATCGATTCTTATTTTAAATAAAGTTAACCTGTCAAACTAAAGCAGTCTACTTCTAACTTAACTTCCACGGTGAATTTACAAGATATTACTCTTATTTGGACCGACAAAAGCAATGCTATTAAGTAATGCTATTAAGTAATGCCATCAAGTAATGCTATCAAGTAATGCCATCAAGTAATGCCATCAAGTAATGCAATCAAGTAATGCAATCAAGTAATGCCATCAAGTAATGCCATCAAGTAATGTTATCAAGTAATGCCATCAAGTAATGCTATCAAGGAATGCTATCAAGGAATGCTATCAAGTTATGCTATCAAGCAATGCTATCAAGTAATGCTATCAAGTAATGCTATCAAGTTATGCTATCAAGTAATGCTTTCAAGTAATGCTATCAAGTAATGCTATCAAGTAATGCTATCAAGCAATGCAATCAAGTAATGCCATCAAGTAATGCTATCAAGGAATGCCATCAAGTAATGCTATCAAGGAATGCTATCAAGGAATGCTATCAAGTTATGCTATCAAGCAATGCTATCAAGTAATGCTATCAAGTAATGCTATCAAGTTATGCTATCAAGTAATGCTTTCAAGTAATGCTATCAAGTAATGCTATCAAGTAATGCTATCAAGCAATGTTATCAATAATGCTATCAAGTAATGCCATCAAGTAATGCTATCAAGCAATGTTATCAAGTAATGCTATCAAGTAATGCTATCAAGCAATGCTATCAAGTAATGCTATCAAGTAATGCTATCAAGCAATGTTATCATGTAATGCTATCAAGTAATACTATCAAGTTATGCTATCAAGCAATGCTATCAAGTAATGCTATCAAGTAATGCTATCAAGTAATGCTATCAAGGAATGTTATCAATAATGCTATCAGGAAATGCTATCAAGTAATGCTATCAAGCAATGTTATCAAGTAATGCCATCAAGTAATGCTATCAAGTAATGATATCAATTAGTGCTTTCAAGTAATGCTATCATGTAATGCTATCAAGTAATGCTATCAAGTAATGCTATCAAGCAATGTTATCAATGATGCTATCAAGTAATGCCATCAAGTAATGCTATCAAGTAATGCTATCAAGTAATGCTATCAAGGAATGCCATCAAGTAATGCTATCAATTAATGCCATCAAGTAATGCCATCAAGTAATGCCATCAAGTAATGCCATCAAGTAATGCCATCAAGTAATGCTATCAAGCAATGCTATCAAGCAATGCTATCAAGTAATGCTATCAAGCAATGCTATCAAGTAATGCTATCAAGTAATGCTATCAAGTAATGCTATCAAGGGTGCAACATAATCACTGCGGTAAAACAAATTAATTGTTGAAGTGCCCAAAACACACGCGTCGATGCAAATGTTAAACTAAAAAATAATCTTCTTCCTACGAAACTGCCACGACGCATCTATGAAATTAATCTATTACTCATAATTCGGTTTAACAAAAACGATACTATAAAGCGTATAATTTAAACACTATTACCAAAAGGAAAAACATGTTTTAGTGTTTAAAAAACCACGTATCGATGTTAATTGTTAAATTGTTTGTGATCTCAAACTAAAATAAATCCACTTCCTACTAAGTTCTGAGGCTTACATCAACCTAAGCGATGTCACCAATCGCAGAATATAATCACGGTGATTAAAGAAAAGTTATGGTTAAATTTCAAAAACACACTCGTCAATGCCAAAAATGTTTGACCTCTCAACTACAAAAAGTTACTTTCCACTGAACCACAACGGTGCTATTATGGCGCAAAGATTTTCATCATACTTCGGGCCCACCAAAGCGATGCTATCAAGCATTTAATAGAGGCTTAGCCACACTATCCTCACCTCCTAATGGGGACGGTGCCTCGCATCCATATGTACCGCAGCCCCTGTAGAGATGTCGTCTGCGTGAAGTCCACCCAGGCGTCACTGCAACAACATTCCACTACATCATTATCTTTGAGGGGATGTTCCGTCCTGTTGTAGTTAGTTTTAAATACGTCCTTTTCCCCGCGTAACGCTACCCTGTGACATCGCATGGACATGGCGATCCGACTGCACTGAAAGATCTTAGAGATCGTTGCAGGATGTTCCGAATGAATTGCACAGCTGTCGGACCGTGCTTCATAATTACGTAGACAGGTTTAGGGCTTTTGATTCTCAGGTTTCGGCCCGGTTAAACATCATATCGTTAAGGCGATAAGGTTATGTATATATGAACTTGGTTATTTGTACATACTTGGGTTGCATGATTTTTATGTCCAGCCCGCATCGAGCGTACTTTAAATGATAAATGAATACCGTTTATTAATACATGTTACGGGCGGTGCAAAAAAGCTTTATGACCATATTCGTGTATTTGCAGCATAATTGAGAGACGTATGTATGTTGACGATCTGTGACTAATCCCCATTTCCTGTACCATTACTTCCTGTGTTTAATGTCAACAATTAAACATTGATGGGGGAATGATTCAACAGTAATTCATCTGTTTCAATTAAAACACAATATCGCTGTAAAAGGTACTCAAATAACGAATATATACACACTGCATCTGCGCAAGCAGTGAGCAAACACGATGCATCTGCATTGTTCGAGCGGACAGAGACAATCTAGATGAAGTGATTACAGCAACGTTTGAGTTAAGTCTGCAGTGGTTGTTTGATGACAACAAATTGAAGCTGGGTGGCCCACGGGAATTCGTCACCGCAATGTATCGTGCAGGTATTCCCGGGTCCTGAGTTTGAATCCCTAATAAGCCCAAATAATGATCTTTGAATCGTCAGCACTCGGCCTTTTCCGTGGGTTTCGTCAAAGCAGAATGCCGGAGATCTGCATTATAGTGCTGAAGTAGGTCTTGGGGGTGCATCCAGATTATCTCCAATGCTTTCGCTTGGTTTGTCAGTACATTTGTTTATCATTGGTTAACATCTCTGTCCTGCGTCACTTCCGATCTTGTCCACATTATTGTTTGTTGTTTAACGCCGCAATAAGCAATATTCCAGCTATTTGACGGCGGTTTTTAAATAATCGAGTCTGGACAAGACAATCCAGTGATTGACATCATGAGCATCGATCTACGCAATTGCGATGACATGCATCAACCAAGTCAGCGAGCCTAACCACCTGATCCCGTTAGTTGCCTCTTACGACAAGCATGGGTTGCTGAAGACCAATTATAGCCCAGATCCTCCACATAAAGAAGACACGGGATATAACAGACAAAGTTATGTTACCTAAATCACAGGACAACCTGGGAAAATGGCGTCGAGTGTGTCCAACCCTCCATCAGCCGCCCGACACAACTTAAGCCATACCACAATGTACACTGGCCAAAAAAAATAAACGCATTACAGAATAATCAGTGTTTCATTTCATGTTTACACAATAAATAATGAAGATACAATAACCAAATTTTACACAGGATGAGGCACATGTTTCTTACACTACAAATAGTCTTTTAATGTTCTAAGGGACGTCTGTGTCTTTGGTGGCACTGTGCCAAAGTCAGTACCGGGTGTTACCACCACGAGCATCGATCACAGCTCTGCACCGCCTGGGCATGGACTGAATCTGACGTTGAGGAATCCTCCTTTCATCCTGCAATGCATGGTTCAGCTGTTGAAGCGTCTGTGGTTGAGGCTGTCGGCGTCGTACACGTCTGTCTAGCAGATCCCACAAATGTTCAATGGGGTTTAGATCAAGCGATTTGGAGGGCCATGGCAGCACAGTAACATTGTTGTGGGCAAGATCCATGGTAACACGTGCAGTATGCGGTCTTGCGTTGTCTTGCTGGAAAATCTCTCTTCTGACGTCAATGGCGGGAATAAGGTGACGTTTTCATCACGTTAGCGTACAGCAGTTAAATGTCCCTGCACGGGTATGCCTGCCCACATCATCACACTTCCGCCGCCGTATTGGTCGACTTCATGAATACAGCGTCGAGTGTAGCGTTCATTTCTCCGTCTGTAGACACGCATACTACCATCATGGCGATACAGAAGAACCGCGACTCATCGCTGAACCATATCCTTCTCCAGTGCACTAGGGTCCATGGTCGAACATTTCTGCTCCATTGCAGACGTGCTAGACGATGATGTTGCCGCAGAACGGGCGCTGTATATGGTCTCATTGGCCGTATCCCATGCTGTCTTCGACGATTTCTGATGGTTTGCGCTGAGACTCTACGAAGACCAGGAACATTGTTAGCTGTGTATGCTGCACTGATTGTCCGGTTGCGAAGATGCAAAAGCCGCATGATGCGGTCCTGCGCCGCAGTTGTGACCCTGGGTCTTCCACTTCTCGGTCGATCTCTTGAAAAGTTGTGGAGTCTGTAGCGCTGCCACAGACGAGAAATGGTACTCTGCCTCACGTTAAAGTGCCTGGCTACTGATGTCTGACTTTCTCCAGCTTACAGACGTCCAATAGCTTTGTTTCTACAGTCTTCATTCAGTCTTGGCATCATGAGGGTCACGTATACAGAACATCGGAGAGTGATTCGCAGAAGGGCTGCCATTTTTTTATACCCATCGGTATAAAAGGTAAGTAGCCGTATTTGCACGTGCAGCATGCTTACAGCTTTTTCTCCATGCAATGTCTCCCAGTTTGGTTTCAAGATGCTGTATTTTGGCGACAAGTCACCAAATATTGTGTTCGGATGCAATAAATTAGTGTAAGGTCAATATTCACAGTTAGCAATGACATTTATATTGAGTTCAAGCCGTCATCTTTAATAACAGTCAAGTTTGAAAAACAGATTTTTTTTGGCCAGTATATGACCCAGGGATAAAGCCTGACCCTTGCATACGCAATGAACGGACACGCTACACACTAAACCACATAATTTGAAACGCGTTCCATTGACAAATGTATACTATCATATACATATATCATAATTATACATTATACATCTTGCCTCGGGAAAGATGTCAGAACGCACCCGGACACAATGAATGATACGTCTATCCTACGGATTGAAGAATGCGTTAGTTATAATTATTTTTCATATTAAGAGTGTTCTGTAAACATCAAAACAGCCATTGGAGTTTGGGTGTATGCTGGAATGTCTGAACAAATAAGCTTTAATGCGATCTCTCTTGTGCTCTGCAAGGAGAGGATGCCCACATTGGTACTGCACGCGTTGGGAGCGGAAATGCCGACTTTCTGGAGTAGGTTTTGTGGAAATAACAAAGAGGGAAATGTCTGCTAGTTCCATTCAGCGAGGTATCAGGGTGATTGCATGTTTTCAACTGGGTATAAATTGATTAATAAAGTGCTTTACGCCTGCTTTTCCTATTATAAGTGTGTACAATGACAAATAAAATATTAACTGTACGTGATGTAATTACTGTTAGCAGAATGTGTGACCATCCGGTCCACTACAGTCGACCCTTATAACAAACATGGGTAACTGTGGACAAATTAAACCACGTAAAGGGGTCTTTATTAAAAGGGTGGTAACTATTTGATCAAAATTTATTCACTCACTCACTTGTAAATGTTTTTAATTGGTTTAACACATACGAATTGTTTCTTCTGGCAAAAGTGTGTGCAAATTTAAAGTACAGTAAACTACGGTTATAAAGAACACGCTTATAACGAACTTACTTTTTTGGTCCCAACTATTTGCTGTAGTTATGCTGTATACATGCTTATAACGAACTACGGTTATAACGAACTAAAATTAGTAGTCCCTTTGAGTTCGTTATAACCGTTCTTTACTGTACTCAGAAGAACCTTCTGTCGATTTATCAGCCTGCATCTTCGCGAGGCAAGGGAGTTAACTGGCTGTAAAAGTCCAGTTTCCACCCTTGCCGAACTAGGCTGTAATTCTGGACTTACATTTTGGCTGGACTAACGAGTCTATACACGTAGAGTTGTTTGATCAAGGTTACAACATCCAAGGGTTCAGTAAAGTTTGACTGTAGACATGTGGGGAACATTTCCATATTTGACAAATCAGTGACAAAAATGATGTCCGATGCAATTCCTTTTTTGACTTGTACCATATGTTCCCGGTTTTTTTTTTCAGGTGAACAATTGACTTGCCCCTGCATGTGTTTGTGACGGGTGTCACCGGTGGGGCAGGATACGCTCACCTTTTCGCAAAAACACGGTATCATTACTATTTGATAGTGATTCATAAACACATACTCATGATATGGTCGGAAACGTACAATCGACTCTGCTTTATGTAGAGATTTCTATTGGATATGGAAATTGTTTCGTCGCATTATTTATATCTGGAATCATTTTACGGCACATCTGATTGTATCATTTGTCCAAATTAACATCATGTACTCATATAATTGAAGCGTCCCTTACGTATGTAGGGTGTGAAACATGAACAATTGCCAACAAGAGTAAATAGGTCGGACAATGAACATTTTTTGTAATGCTCTGTTGGATGTTTTTTTGTGAAACTGGAAAAATGGACGACTAATAAAAATAGTGAAAAGTGCAAGATTGAAGGTGATGGGGACATCAACCTAAAACACGGAAAGCAACCAGTGGTTAACCCCCGAAACGTAAAATGCATGACAAGAAACAGTCAATGTGGGTATAAAATGGTTCATGCCAGATGTAACTGAACTGCATTCTTTGAGGTTGAATATGCTGCAGTTTTTTTTAAATATAGAGATGAGAGGTTTAGTTGATTGTATGCTGCAAGTTGGGTAGAGTCAGTGAGTAAGTATGGTTTTACGCCGCTTTTAGCAATATTCCAGCAATATCACGGCGGGGGGCACCAGAAATGGGCTTCACACATTGTACCCATGTCGGGAATCGAACCCGAGTTTTCGGCGTGACGAGCGAACGCTTTAACCACTAGGCTACCCGACCGCCCCCGGGTAGAGTCAGAGTGTCATCGGACGGCCGTGGTTACGCTTTCAAGCTACAGGATCCGTTGCGCGTGCATACAGACCAGGTCGACCCAGGGTCACCACAGCTCGACAAGATCGCTAACCCGAAATCTGGGTTTACGTCAAAGGTTAATGGCGTCGTCGGACTTTCAGCGTCAACATTTCACGGCCCATAACATGCAAATTAGCAGGTCAACTGTACGAGTTGTTTGCGCTCTGCTGGTCTAAGGTCACGTTGGGGCGGTGGGGTAGCCTAGTG